GTAGAGACCAATCGACATGCCACGTTTGAATGTGTGGTTTCGCGCCTTTTTTGGCGTGCGGTTAATGCTAGTTTTCGGGGTCAGGGTGTGCGAACTTTCGTGTCCAACGGCCGATTTCCGCGCAGCCGCTTCTCCGCTCTGTTAATAGTTGCGGGGCTGTTCAGCCTTTGGAGAAACCAATGTGAGGCCGTAGCTGCCAATTGCCGCCGGGGTGCTTTGTGGCCGATACTAGGGAGAATGAGACGAGAGATCCTCGCGTTCCTCTCCGAGGAGCTTTTCTTCCTCGGGGAGCAAGAGTTTCCGCGGCATTGGTCGTGCCCTTTCGTCAAGGTGGAACACGAAAGGATACAACTCATTTTTCGACCGACTTGGTGCTAAGCAGCGCCCTTTGAGTTGTTTTATATGATTTCATTTGTTACATATCGTGTTTCATTGCATCTGTTGTATCGTTATACCATTGTATCATGATATCGTTTTTGTGTACATATATGCCAACATTGTCATGTATATTAGAGCAAATGTCTTCACTGTAACATAGTGATGTTAGTCGTGAAATATAGATGTGCCGAGGTGTATATGCCCTGTTACTGGAAAGGTATGAAGCCTTTGTGTTCTGTACATGCTGTAAATAAATTTTTTTCTAAACAACGCTGTTGTGTTTCCGTGAAAATTCCTTTAATCAATCAATGCCTGAGGTGATCAGCAGACAATAAATAAAGAGCGAAGCAAAGAAATAAAATACTTCTGATCCAGCTCACTAAAACTCTGTTCGGACAAGGTAACGACATTCGTTAAACACTCCGTAGGCAAAACGCGAAAACTCCGAATAGCCCCAGTGAGAAAACCAGCGAAACATATTCTGGAGATGCCACGAAGATCTCCGGGTGATATGCCGGTAAAAGTACCTCGGCGGCGTCCCACAATTACTTCCTTGGTCGAAATGAACTATAAGTGATAGAGTGATAAATACTCTGGCTGCACCATGCAATTGCTCCAGCCAGCGGGAGTAGAAAGTTGGTTCCGGAGGTTGGGAGCAAAAATTACTCCCAACAAAAAGGTTACTTGAGGACAGGATTTTACTACCAACTGGCAATTTTTCTTTTACAATGCGATTCCCCTATCTTTTCCTAATAAAACTAACAATATTACTAACATTCCTTGTTCAAGTAGATGAGAAACCTGCCACGATTCGTCAAATATCGATCGCTTAAACGACAGATAATGTAAAACCCGATGCGGACGGTGCGTTACAGCCTTATTATCTCATATCGCAAAAGTTTAGTTCATATAAAAAGATAGAAGTTCAGGAAATCTTATAAAGAATATGGCAACTGCTTCTTGAAGATCGGTAGCACGAAAACAGCTTGGGTCTCTGCGGAGCTGTCGTATACTATGAAATTGCGCTTTCTGGTGTTACACGAGAAGGGATCCAGAATATTAAGCTGCTGCCTTTACTTCGAATCAAATTTCAATTTGTTGCCACGGGCACCTCTTTCAAAATCTTGCACGGATGCAAACATCGTCACTCTTGACCAGACCTGTTTATGGTGCCGGACATAACCAGAAAACCGGACATTTTTTCGATGGTTTCCTGGATATATCCCGCATGTTAACCAAGACCTGATTAGGACCATACGAAAACGCGGGCCCGTTGTTGCGCGTGCCCCATAACGTAACCAGCTGTAACGGACCTAGAAAAACTAGCGACCCAATGTAGCGAAACTCAAACTTGCGAGACACAAATTGAAATCTCAGAACATATAAAATATGGCCTCTCGATATGGTTATACATTGGAATATTTGCACTCCTGCAGGAGTAATAAGTATACAGTTTATTGAAGCAATCAATCATTCCAGTGCGCTCTTCTTTCCCATACCACCTGCGTAAGATAACTCACCGGGCACTTTTCTGGTTATCCTCCCTGCCTTCTGTTTCTTTTTTGTTCGTTTTCTTTCTTGCTTACGTGCTTGTATATATCACGCATGCAAAAGCACATGCAAGTAACCACGTTGGAGTAGGGATTTCGCCGGAGTCTCAGCGTCCGGCTTGTTCTAACGTTTAGCACTAGCTCGTACACCCTACGACACAAGCGATGACTATACCTTCTTTCCTAAAGAACACTGTTGCGCAATGACGCGGTTCTTGTGTTCTCGTGTTTAGCTCAGCTGCGAACTGGTACAACCATCAAGACCTGCATGCCTTCAGACAAACCCGGTGCTCCACAAAAGAAAACTCTTTTAGTAAACTATTGTAAGTGTTAAAAATTGTAAAAGTGACTGTAAAAAGGTTAGTGTACAGTCATGCCCTGAAGAGGTCGTGCCTGCGATTTTAAATGCTGTTGCCAGGTTTTCCAGGTAGATTTTGTGTACAGAACGATAAACTACCGCAGACTTACATCATTTATGAAAATAAGTTTGCCAGGCCCTAACTTGAGTAAGGCGAGCATGGTGACAAAAAGTTCAGAGTTCATCCGCCGATAACGTTAAATGTTGGCAACCACAGCAAAGTCCAACCGGCACGCATACAGTCAGAAACCGTCGCAAGGAACCTAAACCGCAAATATATAAAGTTATTGTCGTTGTACCAAGTCGCACGCTTTATAAACGCTGGAGTTAGGCAATGCGTGGTCTCGTTTTGGTCACTCGTGCAGTCACGTAGATAGATGCACGACCTCATGTCGGAGTACCTCGTGTGATCATTATCGCCGAGTTCCAAATAAATACACTAGAGGGAACTCTGACGCCAGTGTCTAGTGACGCCAGTGTCTAGTGAAGGAAACGGAGACTGACATGTGGAGAATGGGCATGATTAAGAAGTCCGCACTAGAGATCTATCGAACTTTTAAGCAGGAAATTGCCAAGGAAAGGATCTATGATAATACTCGGGGTAGTTCTCTACTGTTTGAGGCCAGGACGGGAGTACTGCGAACCAAGACATATCGGGCCAAATACGAAGGGGTAGACACAGTATGCAGTGCGTGTGGAGAGGAAGAAGAAACTGCCGAACACTTGATAATGTTCTGTAAAGGGCTTCACCCTATAGTTCAGGATGATGGCGCAGAGTTTTTCAAAGCACTGTGTCTATGGGAACTGCAGCGAAGAACTTCAGCCAGCACGAGATTTATGGGTAGTACACAAATTTGCCTAGTCTTTGTACTTTCGGCTCGGTCTGACTTCGCGTGGCTTTGTCGCGAAACGACAATCGGCAAATGTTCAGCAGTTTCCCCTCATTGTGCTAGCCCGTCAAGCTGACCAATTCAAATCGGCTCACCAAGTTTACAGCGGTCCGTTCACAGTGGCCTCGGACGTTACATATTACGTCCGAGGCTGTCCAGTCGATGAAGAAGAAGCGCATGAATATCATTTAACTATTCCGCGTACGGGCAATGGAGGAGTTTCCATAAGACAATTTCACAACCATATGGTAGTAATTAATGTACAACAACCTCGGAAAAGAGCAGCGCTTCGATATAGGTAATAGTGCACTTCAAGTTGTAAAAGACTTTAGGGCAGATAATAACCGCAGAGCCGAACCACGAGATTGAAGTAACTAGATGAATAAGAATGGGGTGGAGCACATTCGGCAAGCACTCTCAAATTATGACAGGTAGATTGCCACTATCCCTTAAGAAGAAGGTATATAACAGCTGTATCTTGCCGGTACTTAGCTACGGAGCAGAAACCTGGAGACTTACAAAGAGGGTTCAGCTTAAATTGAAGACGACGCAGCGAGCAATGGAAAGAAAAATGGTAAGTGTAACCTTAAGAGACAAGAAGAGAGCAGAGTGGATTAGGGGACAAACGGAGGTTAAGGATATCATAGTTGAAATAAAGAAGAGGAAATGGACATGGTCCGGGCATGTAACGCGTAGACAAGATATCCGCTGGTCATTAAGGGTAACTAACTGGATTCCCAGAGAAGGGAAGCGGGTTAGGGGGAGACAGAAGGTTAGGTGGGCAGATGAGATTAAGAAGTTTGCGGGTATAAATTGGCAACAGCAAGCACAGGACCGGGTTAACTGGCGGAACATGGGAGAAGCCTTTGTCCTGCAGTGGATGTAGTCAGGATGATGATGATGATGATGATGATGATGATGATAGTAATCACTATTAAATTGAAGCAAAACTTCAATTCGTCCTAGTAGGAACATATCCGTCTTGAAATCTCTTTGCGCAAGCACACAGGGACACAGAAAAAAGCACACAAACTGGCGCCCGTTTGTCTTCCTTTCTGTGTCCCTGTGTGCTTTCGCAAAAAGTTTCAAGGTGCACTGTTAAATTGTTGGTTGGGTGGGAGGTCATAGCGCGAGGCCTTCATCCTGCTGTCGTTGTAAAAGCGATTGACAATTATGTAGCAAATGATTCATATATATGCCAAAATCGCGATGCGATTATGCGGTACAGCGCATCGAGAGACCCAGAGTCTCCGGGTTAATTTGTACCACCTGAGGTTCTTTAGCGAGCGCCTAAGCCTAAGTAAAAAGAAATGTTTATTCATTTCACTCCACGTGTCGAATTGGTTATTCAAATTAGCGATAAGTCATACAGGTCGTTTTAGTTGCCAACGTTTGCCACGTGTAGCGGCAAGCACGACGCCTCATCGGCCGATCTCTCAGACCGATCTCATAAAAGTTTTTCCCATTAAATTACCTCTGTGTTCCTTAAACCTCATTTGTGGGCACGTTGATGGGGCCTCATGATGCCTCTGGCAGCGGCATCATGATTTATTTAGTCTGAAATCAAATAGAGTAAGAACAGCTGTTCTTTCTAATTGACGCAGTAATCTCGTGTAGCAACTGAAAATTTCAAGACAATACTGTCCACCCGAATCTTGGCCGATCTCCCTGAGCAAATACGCAAGGGTAAGAGGTGTCAATCATCTCCGAGGCATCATCATCAAAGCCCCTCTTCCTCGTGCGGCGCGTGTCCGTGGCGCAAGCATCAGAAGAAGATTTCCCGGCGTCACGATCAGCTGCGAAAGCACCGCAAAGCCCGCCGCCATGTCTGTCGTCACCGCGAGTGTCCGGGACGACGATGACTTCGAGGAGGACGACATCGGAGAGGCCAGCGTCGCGGACTCCTCGCGTTCGGAGGACCTCTCGGGCTCGGCATCGCCACCGCCGGAGTCCAAATGCACCACTGTCCAGTCACGGTCGCGGTCGCAGATCCTGGTGGCCCGCTCGCCAAGCCGCCTGCCCTACCTGGCCGTATGCAGCGTGGGCCTTCTCACGGTCCTTGTTGGCGTCGCCGCCACTGCGTATAAGCTGCACACGGGGGGCGCCATCATGACGCTGTTCAACAACACGATGGCCATGATGCGACGCGGCGGGAATGGATCGGAGTTGGCCGACGGGACCTTCCTGGCCAACGCGGATGGCCGATACCTCGCCAGGCACGAGAGCAAGCTCTTGGTGACCCAGTCCAGCTGCCGGAGCGATGCGTGCATCTGGGTGGAGAACTACCTCCGCGGCCGTCTCAACTACAGTGTCAACCCATGCTCCGACTTCTACGCGTACGTGTGCTCCAGGCACTGGACATCACGGGACCTGGACCTGCAGTTGAGGGCGTACCATGAGAGAACGGTAGGCATGATGATGACGGACGTCGAGAAGTACTTCCGGCAGTACCTCAAAGAGAACGAGGAACGCTACCACAAGTACCCCGGCGTGTTTCTGCACCAAGCCATCTCTCTGCTGCCCAAGTGCCAGTCCGAAGAGAAGAACGACAAGAACCTCTCGTCTCTCCGCAGTCTTCTGGAGGAGTACAACCTCGGCGGCTGGCCATACAAAAAGGCGCCACGTGGTGTCAACATCCACAGCACCTCGGCGTTCATTGATCGTGACCTGGGCGTCTTCGCTTTCGCCAAGGTGTTCTTGCGGAAGTCCTTCGAGGATGATCGCGGCTACACAGTCTACATAGATGCGCCCAGCTTGACGATCAAGAGATACAACCTGGCGTATCTCGACGACTCACCGGAGAACTTCACGGAGAAGGTAGCACTCGCGCTATCCCTTCTTGACAAGAAGCAAGACGTGTTAGAACAAACGGAAGCGATAGCCCTCCTGGAAAAGAAACTCCAAAGCGTTATCGGTGTGCCGCACTTTGTTGGCCTGCAGGAGCGGATCAAGCGCGTCGGTCAACTTGACCACAAAGGAAAGTGGGACTGGGAAGAGTACCTCGCGATACTCTTTCAAGACATTGAAACTTTCGACAACGACAAGCAAGTAGCCATCATGAACAACGAGTACATCAACAAGCTGGTGGTCATTCTTAACGAAACGGACACGGTGACTCTTCTGAATTACCTTGGCTACCGCACCGTGGTGCACCTATCCCCGATTCTAGCCAAGGTTGCTAGCCCTCTGCTGCGCCTGAGTCATGACGATTACCTAGAATTTGTCCCGGATCGGCTTCAAGCTTGCATGCATCTGCTCGAACGTCTCTACAAGCAAGGCATGCGATTCTTCGGCCGGATGACTTTCAGCAAGACCAACTCGACGCTTCTTCTGAAGCACTACGACTACAGCATGTCCAACATCGAACAACAAATCAAGAGTAGCATGACCGACCGCCTCTTGTCATCTTCGTCATGGCTAGACCGTTCTGCGATAGGCATTGGTGTCGACAAAATTGAGAACATGCGCCTCGTTTTCCTTGGCAGCACGGAAGACATCAACACGGTTGCCAGCTACTACAACTTCAATGCTCAGCCTTTGGACCCAAGTCACCTAGTCGAGAGCTTTCGCGACCTTCAGGCTGGAACTAGGAACGTCTACTGGGAAACGAAGCCACCCAAAGACGACCTCGATGCTAGGTACGACCACACGGCCCTTACACCTGGACACGAGTACTTCTTCGGCCGCAATGTTCTCTTCATTCCACACGCCAATATTGCCTTTCTCAATGACATCACCAAAAGTATTGATCCGGTGTTCTTCCCACTTATCCTCGCTGAAATCTTACGAGGCATGTTCGGAGCCGTGGACAGGCGTGGATCTACTGTGGACCACAACCTCGCAGTGGCCACGTGGTGGAACACCGATGAAATGAGCAAGTTCTCGCAGCTGGAGCTGTGCTTTCAAGACCAGTACTACGTCGAGATACGGGAGCTCATCGGGGACAACTTCGAGGCCAAGACAAGGCTGGAAGGAAACATTGCGGACAATGCCATAATGGGTCCGCTGCACGACACCTACATGAAGGTTCTCGCATCTCGAGACGGAGCCGAGAGGCTCAAGATCGCCGTTGACGATCGGCAGCTTGACATGGAACAACTGTTTTTCATAATGTACGCTGTGGGGCTGTGCGACAACCCGAACCGCGATGCCTGGGTGCGGAAGCTAAAGTTCGGCGAGATGCCAGGCAAGCTTCGGGTCAACATTCCGCTCATGAACTTTGCCAAATTTTCGTCGGCTTTCGGCTGCGCGCCAGGCATGACCATGAGCCCAACCCGCAAGTGCATCGTCTGGTGAGCGCGTCTCGCTCCAGGTTTCCGGTCACGTTTGCTTGTGTTGCTGGAGCACCGGTGTTGCAGTTGGAGGGATTGTCTTTTTTTTTCTCATATATCTGAATAAAAGGGTGCTGGCAAGCATGTACTGTGCACAGATTATTATTCGCATGTATACTATACTGGTTTATAAGAGATGACACCTAGCTGGAATGGCATTCGTTTCATTAAAGCAGAGTGTTTTCGAAGACAATGCTTGCTTATCGAGCAGAAATACAAGAAAGGCGAGGCAGCAGGCTGTATAAATCAGTCAACACAACAGGTAAATAGGCAGGCAGGATCTGTAAAAAGGTCTCGTGACCACGCTACCGCGTTAGGCGTGAGACCTTTTTAAAGGTCTTTCCTGCTTTTCGAACTCGATTACTGCCATTTTTTGAAATTCACCTCTCTACATTGCTCACGAGAAAAGAAGCTGGCTGCAATGGCATGGCATTATTATACTCGAGAGTTTTCAAGTACACATAGGCGTTAGGGGCCCGGCAAATCTTTCACAGCGAAAGCTGTTATGAAATCACAATGTGTTGCGTAACGATAGGGTCGTTGAACGCCCCAATCCATTACTAAAGATCCAGGCATAATTTTTCATCGTTGTCGGCCACAGCATAAAAAATGGCACAAAATTCTTTGCAAGTGTGTGGCGGGTACCACGCTTTTCTGAAGAATGACGAACGATGAGATAATGAATGCCTCCCTACTCGACAAAAATTGCGATGTTTAATGGCGTAGTGGGTGCCGTGAAAGTGTGCTTGTAGCAGTTACCCAAAGAGTGTTTAAAACAGGCTCTCAAAGGCTCCTGTTCCCGCTTTTAAATTCGCTATGACTGTGGTTCGCGTTCGGCGCAGGCATTGCGGTTTTTCTTCGTCAGGGTCAGAAAAGGCTGCCGATCGGCAGTCGAGGCTCCTGTGAACACACGAGTTAAATAATATAGCACAGCACGCGGCCTGGAATTCATAAACGAATTCTCATTGTCAGCTGAAATCCGATTTTATCCTCTATGCTACAAAGTAAGAAATCACTGCGTCACTGACCAAGTATCAGCCACTTTGTAGAGAGGCCTGGGAAGCCCTGCTAAGGAGCGAGGACTTGCCACCGAAGATAGTCGAACCTAGAACGTTCGTGTTACGCATACAATACACCGGTAATTGTGCTATGACAGCTGTTCCCCAGTTCACCTTGCAAGTATATGTTCCGTATGCCATTCCAGTAATGCATATGTTAAGGAATTAAGGAATTCATATTTATTTATTATTTTATAATACTGTCAGCCCTCTCTTGAGGGCTCTTACTGGGAGGGTACAACAAAATACAAACCAACCAATATACATCTATGTCAGGTAGTAGCGCAATAAATTAATACATGTGTAACACTTTATCAAATTGGCAAACACTGCCTGCATTTAAAGCAATACCTGGCTACGCATTACAAGGAATAAACACAGCTGGAAGAAAGAAAACAAAAAAACTCAAACTAAGGACACATGCTGGCCTATTATCTGGCAGCTCCATCACTCAAACACATGTCCAACAATTTTTCGAATTTGCAAAGATCGCTTGCATTTACTACAATGTCTGGCAAGGCATTCCAAAGCTCAATCGCAGCTGGAAAAAAATAATAACGAAACAAATCACTCCGACAAGAGTACCGTACTAAAACACAGTTTCGATTAACCCGACTGCTTCGTTTCACTGGCGCGTTTAAGTACAAATCTTTGTTAATTTTTAGATGTCGTTGCAGTATCCTGAAAAGAGCTTTCAACCGGTTCTTTTGTCTTCGTGCCTCAAGTGATTTTCAGTTCTGTATATGTCTTCTGTGTGAATCTTACGGAAACATACGGAATTATCTGAATGGCATACGGAGCACCTCAATACGTGTGATAAATGGCGGATGCGTAGGTATAGATACGTATTCACTAGGATCGCTATCATGGCCAAGAGTGGTGAATATGGTGCATGTCGTTCGCCTAAAACCTTATTTTACGTGGTGATACTCACCTTATCGTGCCAGGGCAGCAAAGATTTTTGTTTGTTTGTTTTTTGCGTTGTGCATTGTGAACTGTGGTAATTTTTTTTCTTATGGCCGACCAAAGACTACATTCTTTTTTTTTTTCATATGGAAATGACCTATGCACTGTATGTCTCGTTCCTTCTTTTTCTTATTGGCCCTGGTGTCCCCTTGCTTATGGGCATCGAGTGGATGCTCTAATTGGATGGGGAATAGGGGAATAACGCCACCCGGTGTTGTGAGCCGGCCATCCGCGACCAGCCGAAAAGGGCGAAGAGGACAAAGTGTGTATTGGCTCTTCGTTCACGATCCACATTCGTGTCTTTCTGTCTCGCTATCCCTGCCTTGTCACTGCGGCCCCTAGTGTGTGGCAATATATGCGACTGTAGCTACATATTCACGCCTCGTAATGAAAAATTCTTCAAACTAGACGGCACCATGCAGCCCGTGAACATTGGAAGGCAGCAGAGCAGTGAACCACGATGTGCTACCTATGAGGATTCGCTCACTGGATTCCTTGCCGACCGGTTGTGCCCTCGCGATCTCCGACGACAGCTCAGCTCTGGCCGACTGGGTTGGTCCTACGCGACCTCCTGCCACTGGTCCCCCACAACGACGACAGCGTAGCTCTAGCCGACTGGATTAGCCCTACGCCATCTCCTGTTACCGACAAGAGCTCCCGCCAGTGGTGCCCCGTCCTCGGACTCCTGTGACCGTGTTTCATCTTTCCTTTCTCTCTTCTGTCGTCGCTCGCTGTCCCTGCGCATCTCTCTCTCTCTCTCACTATACCTTTGATCCTTTTAATCCCTCCTTACCCCCATCCCCTGTGAACTACTGTTGAGGTGTCGCACCAGACACAGACAGTTACGGGGCTCACTTTTCTTTTCTTTTCTCTTTTATAACCACAACCATAATCGTGCTGCCTATATGCCTGCCACGTTTTAAAGGGGCCTGAAACACTTTTTCAAGTAACCGTGTAATTAATTCACTGGAAGAGCTTATTTTCTCACGAATTCAACGCCACAGAAATTTTAAGAATCCGTCCAGTGCGACTGGAGTTACAAAGGTTTGTCGCATGCTGCAATTGCATTCTCTTTCTCTCGTCCCGACGAAAGCGCTGGAGGCTGAGCAGGGAGGGATGGCAGAGCCACAGAGAAACGTCACGCGCGCCTCGTGATCTTGAGCACTTTTTTTCTGTTTCGTCGAATGCGCGACTTTTCAGTGCGATCACGCGCGCATGCGTGGAAAAGTAGCGGCCTCCCGCGGCGATTTCTGTAACAAGCGAGCGCGCTATGTTCAAATCAGCCAATGGCTGATAGATGGGCTTGCTACGTGCGATTTTTGGGCATATCCGGTGATTTGTCGAGAGAAGAGAAATCAATTTTTAGCTGACTTTAATAATTTATTGTGAATTCCAGGCCACGTGCTGCGCTATATTTGGCTCGCGTGTTGTCGGGAGCCTCTACTACCAATCGGCAACGTTTTCTGATCATGCTCAAAAAGTGTTGCAGGCCCCTTTAATAGGCAAGTCGACTCGCATTTGCACATTTATTTATTTTTTTGCAATCTAGTGACTGCTGAGCTCAAAGCTGTAGGCTTGTTCGAGCGCTAGGCAGCCAGATGCAAAAAAAAAATGCTACATGCAAGCCAGATGCAAAAAAAAATGTTCGTGTGTTCAGATTTAGTTGTATGATATTGAGCCCTAAGTGGTTGAAATTAAGTCCCTCGTTACGGTGTGCTTGTATTTAGTTTGAAGTTTGTGCTCTTAAAAGCCGAGGATTTATTTCAAACCTTTTCCCTCATTATTACACTATAGTCACGAGATATTGTACTGATCCCTTGCCGCGGTGGTCTAGTGGCTAAGGTACTCTGGTGCTGACCCGCAGGCAGGGGGATCGAATCCCGGCAGCGACGGCTGTATTTCCGACGGAGGCGGAAAACAGGTAATCTGTTGTAAGTCGATTTCATTACCAGCAGAAATAAAACTTCCCTGTTTGTGTTATGCTTTAACTCAAGAACTTGGCGATTCTTTTCATTACTGTTACCTTTACTGCAGTAGCACCTATGTCGCTGTCAGAAATTTCCAAAAATTCACAAGCAGTGCAAGTGTTCAGCCATTTTAAAGTTCCAAGATATGGTATCAATACTACCGATAGCACTTATCACCATTGTTCTTGAGAAATGGCAGATGGAATGTGCAATCCTAGTCATGTTCAAAACACAAGGCAATGAAACCTCTGTCATGTCAAGGTTCTTGGCATTCAGGTGTCTACTACACGCTCCCATGGCTAGGGAATATGGCCAGGGAATATGGCAATGAACGAGTCACGCTGCCACATGGGCTAAGGATTTTAGACAGCACTCAATGCAGAGTGAAGCAAGTGTGTTTTATTCACTACAACAACCATGAGAAACAGTCGGAAAGAAATAACAATGCAAAAGTGTTGGTTTGCATCAATCTGCATAACATTTCCTTCTTGCAAAAATAAGTTAGGGCTTAGGTTAAACATGACACAAGTAACTGGTGGTTGGGACGGTCCGCAGTTTCGGTGCACTTGTGTATGCAGTCTCGCACTGCATCAACAAACAATCCACAAAAATATGTTTCTGTACAGTTCGTATGCCCCTAGTGCGTCACTACTACTGGCCACGCAACAACAAGCGAAACAAATGAGGGAACTTTCTAACATGTCAATAACATTACAACATCGGCAAAGCCAAAAACACTGAAATAATATGAATTGCAACTACTTGTGCGTGTAAAAGACAATGCAATTAATGAAAGTAAATATTTTAGCTCGTTAAAAAGAATGGCTTCTATGATTTGAAAAACATAAAAATGTACTTTTTACAGAGTTTTCAACAGGACAAGTACAACAATAAAAAACTTGAAGGTGCAAATTTATCAGAACATCATCTGCAATACAGTGAATGCAGAATATACAGAGATCTTAGTTTACTAATGAATTACAGACAAAAAAGGAATATGAAGCTCGACAATCTACTTCGCTAGCATTTTGATCACACCTCTAATGGCCCAAACAGGCTCTGGCATGGAAAAAACGTATTCTCATAACTTTATACCTAAATGATTAAATACATCACCTATACTCCAATTACACTCATACTTCCTTATATTGTTCCATAACCACAGGTACAAGACTGTAGGCAAGAGTGTACTATGAAGCTCTATCAGAATCTCAACAGCTGTTAGCGATAAATCTGGAGTCTTTGTGCGTCTACTCACAGGAAAACTTCTCAGTGAACACCCGATGTGCGCAAAGAAGGTACAGTCATTTCCGAAACAAATCAGAAACATGCCCACACAGGCAACACAGAATATCGACATACGATAGTGATACTCAATCGATATATAAATTAACCACATCACTTAGTGCACAATCTGCCGCCCTCACTAAAAAGCACATTCATTGCGTGATACATTAGCCAAATAGCACCTTTTGTATATTATGTACACCAGAACACTCATAACATATTTTTGCTTGGCACATGTTTTAAAACCCACCACAATTTCTCTTTTGCTCATATATAATTCAGGTGTCACATAAACAGATGACTTTACCTCTGTTCTATGTCCTGCACAGTACTACTAAACGTGATGCGGCTATTAGAACAGATGTTTACAGTGAGGTGACTTCAGGTTGAATGTGAGCATTTTATCTGTATGGATATCAATGGGCAAACTTTTGTGGTATATTGGTCACTAACCACTTGACATAGTGACATTTCTTTTGCCTAAAGCAGACAGTGTTCCATCACACTCACATTTACATAAATTCAAAACAGTGTCAGCCCCATTTAGATTCAGGAATGCATCCAGTCAAGCACAGAGGGCACATTGAAACTGCCCACACGAAGGCATTCACCACATATGCATTCATTATGCATGTGATTACATAACATGGCCGTCTTATGAAAAAATCACTTTGCAATGAGCCTTGCATCAGTGACGCATACTTGATAGTGATTCTAAAGCAGAAGGATAGCATCTCTGACCCATTCCTGAATTGCTATTCAATGCACAAGTTCATAGTTATCATAGTTACTAAACTACAATAATATTTGGGCAATCAGCCAAGTATGTTCCAGAATGCAATTTTTGAAAGCACGTACCTTCCAATAAACAACTGAGCCAAATGCAACAAACATAGACAAGCTCCTCTTCTTCTGTGAGTGAAGTTATTAGCAACTGTAAAAAAGCATAGTTAACAAGAAAAAATGAAAGAAAATGCCAATGAGCTCAAAGGAGGCCGATTCAGCAATATAGCTGGTCAAAAAAAGGCAGCAATTATCACAGCTTGTGTCATTGATCAAAATGGTTACAATTACACATTGCAATCAGACTTTAGTGTACACCGAATAAGGGTGGTATTTAGTACTTTTTTGAAACATAGAACTGTTAATTTGAAGTGCACTTCAAACAAAATACTTTCGTATGAGGTGTACAAATTTGTCTGTCAAATTATTTAAATATTAACATAAATTGTATAAATACTCAATGCTGCTTATTAAAATGTTGTACCTGAATAAACCTAAGAACAAACTCCAGCCCACAAAATGCTTTCATCATGCTGATATAGAAAATTGTAACCGGTACTTGGATTACTCGAACTGATACACTAGGCTGTAGCAGGCTATCATGTGTTAACAGGAAACAAAGTTGACTTGAGATATCAGCACTATGGTATTTTCGCTGCTCAGCAGTACCAGGGAAAAAAATTCTGATGATAAATATTGAGCAAGATATTGACAACATAGTTTTGGGCACTGAAGTCGATGAGACTTCACACAGGCTGGATACGTGGTTGCAGGTTGAAGCTAGAAAATGATCTTAGAGTTATCAAGCCAGGGGCCATCACAAGACAAATTTCTGCAAAGCATAAAATCACAGTATCGGGAGAGTTAGAAGCTCCTAAAACGGCTGTCACAACAAGACTGTCAGTCACCTATACGCGTGCGTGATGGCATCACCCAAACCAATCAAGGACATTCTGCTTTTATTCTTTTCTCATATGCTAATGCATGCCTGCTTTTAAACACACATGAAAGGAAGTACAAGATGGCACCATCTATGCGACATATTCTCGATACTACTAGAGAATACTTACCAATATATCAGCACTGAGAATGCTGTTATGTTTTTCCAATCCATCTCCTTATCACCAAACCACAGCGTTCATCTAAGGACTCGTTATGCATAAGCCATAAATGCAATTACTACCTTGGCTGTTCTGAAATGTCCAGGATGCGGTACAATATTGAAGCAAATCCAAAGGCTGTGTTGGAGCACCTTATATATGTGTACTTATAAAAATGACATTGACTATAGGAGGGCGTAGATGTCCAGCCATATAAGATTGGATACGCAGCAGACAAAAGTTTTAGAAACTCTTCAGAGCTTCTGGAACCAGCAGGTCTTGAACATATGACAAGAAAAATCAATGAGACAGTTTGGTTAGAAGGTAGATGTTTAGGCATAGACAACAATCAATAAAACCACCAGGTAGTGAGAACTAAGCGGCGTATAATTCACCAAGAAGCTAAACAAATATTAAAGCACGTGTTACAATGCCATGTTCTTACGAGGATCATTGGCAAGCAGCGGTCATAGGATGGCTCTGAAAAACATTGCATAAGCAGTATCTAAGAAATAACCTGCCCTGTAAAAACCTCATTATTAGACATACCCAGCATGAACCACACAAAGCTGGAAGTTCATTTGTTTTTTCCAATACCAGCTGATACCAGCAAGCATAACTGTAATACGTTATACTATTACGTATTAATCCTCTGTGACTGGCCGTATCAAATGTGCTATGGCCTCTTACACGGACAGCACCAATGACATGAAGTGTGTTGGCGTGAAGACAAAGGAACAGTGTTCCGTATTTCTTTTTACGGTAAGGTCTAAAGATGCCAACCGTCGACCAATGACAGACAAAACAAGGCGTACAGAACAAAACTCTACAATTCAACTTAGACACCTACCCCTACCCAACACCCCAGTGGCAATAAATGGCATTTAGTAGGCAAAGCATCGCTTAGGGCTGTAGCCCAGTTTCTCCAGGTTAGGCTTGCAGGCGAAGTTGATCATGGGCGGAGGGACCGCACATGAGGATAATGGATTTGTCGGACGGTGCCGGAAGGTTGCGCTCAATCATGTCAGCGCTGACGAATCCTACGCCCTTGCGTCCAGCCAGTCCTTGGGCCGATCCACAGTCAGGTAGAGACGGAAGCGGCCAGGGTTCTGCCGAAGAACTTCTTCCAGTTCAGGACGAAGGAGGATGTCGTCCTCGGTCTGGTTGGCAAAGATCAGCGCGCAGTTGGTCTTGTCCTCCGGGTCACTGAACACTTGCCGGATGATCTGCATGAAGAACATGCAGAAAATGCAGATCATCTGATGGGCAGACATTGTTCGATCGAATTTTGCTTCAGTGAGATCTTCAATATTGTATTATAGCACAATGAATTAATTAGGAATGTAAAGCCAAATAATTAATCCTAAAGAATTTAATTATAGGGTCGAACATGCCAGAATCACGGCACTACGAAGGATGTCATGACGTGAACTCTGAATTCATTATTACCGCATGTGGTTTTCTACTATGCACATAATCATAGTGAAGCAAGGTCAGTGAAATCCTAATTATTAAAATTGTAGCACACTGTCCTCTGAGAGAGACGCAGACGTAACATACTAAGTTCCAGAAAATTTTGTGACCCCAATGTCGCCAAAATACAGAACATACACTTTCAAATGGTTGATGTCCTGTGCGGTGATTCCGGTACAAATTTTCAAAATTATACATTAATCTTGATTTCCTCGGTATAATTAGACCTATCATAGTGAAACGATTGACGTTAAGAGTTCTCAAGTACAACTTATCAATCTAAACCAATCCATTCTTTCACTCTACCGTCCCCTTTAAGCACTATGAACAATTCGAGCTTGTCGGCAGCCTTCTGGGAAAAATGTTTCTTTGGACCAGCTCAGATGACCCGTAGCGCTAAATATTGCAGCGTATCTATTTTTTTTACTCACAGAGCCATTCTATATAATTTTAAGGAAAATGTCTCAGCAGCTCCATCTACTCATATCTACACTTGTGCAGTCAATAGCGACTGCATTATCCTACAAGTGTCCTCCATAATAAGACAGTCTCTGAAGAGCACACTGACAGTGCACAGTAGACTCATAAATAGCGAAGAGCAAAAAAGTAACAGCATATCGACTAAGTGAATGATGATGAACGGGGCGAAGCGTCCGTTTCTCTCTCTTTCAGTTTGTGCGCCTGTCCCTCTGCCTATTCATCTGTCTACCTTTCGTCTGTCTGTTCATGCATCCGTCTGCGTTTCCCTTCATGCTTCCATTCGTCCATCCATCCGTGTGTCTGTCTGATGCTGTCCGGTTACACCTGACGTAGGACAAGGTTAGACTAAGAGGTTCTTGGCCCCTAAAAGCAAGAAGAATCAGTGACGCATAAGAAATCAAAGGATCCCTGAGAACACCACTACACAGGGTTACAGCTGTGGAGAGGCTCATGGAAACTACATGCACAGGTCACTGCGCGACACAGCTGCGCGATAGCGCTAACGAGCGAAAAGCTGCTGCACGACTTAGATGTCGTGCGAACGACCCACAGTCGAATGTGAATGAACAATCTAAAAACAATTAGACGTGGCCCATTTGACAGCTTAATGAATGGCCTGAAATAACTCTCATTTCCTGTCACTTATTTTATGTTGTTTTCATGAATTGCACACCACTGTGCAATTGTGCTGACGAAATGCAAAGTCAGCATTGAAGAAAGCGGATGCCGTGTGAATGACCAAGAATAATTGATTGATTGATATGTGGGGTTTAACGTCCCAAAACCAGCATATGATATGAGAGACGACGTAGTGAAGGGCTCCAGAAATTTTGACCACCTGGGGTTCTTTAACATGCACCCAAATCTGAGCACACGGGCCTACAGCATTTTCGCCTCCATCGAAAATGTAGCCCCCGCAGCCGGGATTCGATCCCGCGACCTGCGGGTCAGGAGCCGAGTACCTTAGCCACTAGACCACCGCGGCGAGGCGATGACTGAGAATATGAGTGGGTGATCTAAAGACAATGATAAGTGGCTGATTCATACCCTCAATGACCTGGCTGAATATCATAACAGTTCTTTAGGTTTACATTCTTCTTTTTCGTAATTTCTTAGATGCCAGCAACTGTTAAAAGTTAGGCAACTTGGAGTGATAGACGATAAGTAATGAATGAGAAAAGCAAATATGGTGATAGTTAATCTGAACTATGTACAAAAACCATTAGCACCAGCTCTACATTTGAAATGTCATCCAAGGTGGGTACTACAACAATACATTGCACTGACCTAAATTAAAAAATAAGAATTTTGTAATAAGTCCTCATCAAAACCTAAAAAATAAACTTTTCCAAAAATTGTGAAAAATTGTAGAAACAAAACGTCGGACTGATGCCCCTTCTTTCAGACCACAAGAATAATGCTGTCCCCTTCCACTCCAAAAAAAAAAAAAGATCTTGTACCAATTTCACACAGCTTTTTTTCTTTACCATAATCAGGCCTGATCTCGATCAAGTTACTCAATTGTGATTAGCTACGATATGCATAAGGGATCCATTCACTGTTGATCCCAACCAAGCTCAACTGTGATCGGCAATGCACCGTGCGACATTGGTAATATGACATACACCACAAATTTGGCAGTTCAACGTACAGACAGTCTTCCTTGTCGCACAACATAGCCAGCAATGCACCTCCTGGACCCCATTTTTTTTTTTAACTGCGAGTAACACGTAAAAATGGCCCAGCGAGACACACGAACAGGTGTTTCTTTTCCGCTTCACAGGCACGTGTGCATTTGACAGCCCGAACCGAGCAAAGCACGCCTGCATATTATTATTTTTTTCCCGCTTTTCTTTTTTCAGGCACGTCAACAGGTTTAGTGCAGAGCCAAATCTAAGCATCCGAGTGTCATTGCAGCCCACATGTAAGGGCACCGGTAGTGCTCTGGAGTTCAACCTCTGACCTCATTTGAAGGGCCACTAATGGGGAAAAAACATTTTTCTCATATTCGAAAATTACTTTTGCTATTAAAAAAATATTAGGCGATGCCATCTTGATGTTTCCGCACCAAACGACATGATGTCATACATTTTGGCACTGTATACTAGGGCCTACAAAATTAATAATCAGTAAGAATAAACTAGACTAATCTCTAGAGGGGGCAGGAGGAGGAAACGTACTTAACATAACCAGTTTCAGAAAAATTTATTGAGTCAATATCACGAAATACAAATAGAAAAATAGTTTGAATTCTGTGAGATCACGTATGAAGATTTAGACACAAAATTTAAGCAATATAAGCATAACAGAATGTTTCGTAGAACAAGTTCGGCACAGTGACATGACCACAGCAGAAATGACAACGGACAATATATACACTGACCGGCTGGTTTATAGAGGTTATTGTACAAATGTGAGTCAGGCTATGATAGATGCTGTAGTGGAGGGCTCTGGCTAATTTATACCACCTTGGTTTCTTTGACATGCAAGCATAGATATGTAATCTTTACCGGCCCAGGGACCACAGGTGACCAAAAAATACGATACATGTGGAGAAGGTATTATCTAAGGCTACCACAGCCTTAAATTTAGTAATTTGATTTGATTATATTTATTCGCTCAAGTGTATATAGCAGAATAGACCCCCTAACGCAATAAAGCTATGGCACTGCCATGCACTAAGTTTCCTTTCACGCAGCTAAGTCAAAACTACCCTACGCAGCAGTCTGCTACCGTGCTACGTCCGGACTTTGAAATTTAGAACTTTTGAGGCATCGAACTTCGCAAGGCAAGATATATATGTCATGCCTTACAGGTTTAAAGGAGCACTGACATAGAACTTCAAGATCGAGATGAGCCCATAATTCGATCACTTGGTATGCATAGGTCTTCTTGACCAAATTTGATTGGCGTCCATCACGTTGAAGTTATTTTATTTCTACGCCAAACAGCGTGGAAAAGCTAAGGAGAAAAAAAATGAAAAACTGCGACATTGACACTAGTGTTACGTGTTCGGTGTAATACATTCCACAAATACAATCCTGAGAGACGATACGCTAGTAATGATGACGTCGACGATCTCCGAGTGTGTTTGAAGCCGACTCTCAGTCATGCTCTCACTAGTGGCTCTCCTTGCTGTGTGTTGAAGCGTGTGCGCGATTCATCGTGTCTCATTGACTGATTTGCATTGTGCTCCATTGCGTGCGAGTACAATCATTCAGAGCGACAATACGTGCCGGATTGTCGGAAAACCGTGTAGTCAGAACCTGCACGTCGAAGCACAGAAAAAGCAGAAAGTGCAGGGCGTTTCATGCCTTTCCAAGCAACGAACCTCAACGCAGCCAGTGGGTTGACTTCGTACACGCCGTTGGACAAAGGGACTGGGCGGCTGTGAAGAACAGCCACATTTGCTCCCTTCACTTTGCGGCGAGCTGCTATAGAGTAAATCCTGTGTTGGCGAAGCAGTTGGGTTTCACTGGCAGTACGAGGCCTTTTCTCGAGAACAGGGCTATTCCTACCGTATGCCCTGCTGCAGCTGAAAGCAGAGATTCACTCGCCAAACATCCCCAACATGAAGTACAAAGTTGGTGTTCTCGAGCTCCGACAGTACAGCCAGGACTGATAAATACATTGCATTTAGCGAGGAGCTCGTCAAACAAGGATCATCGTGAATCACAGCGATACCTAATTCCAGGTCGCTGTCATCATCACTTGCCGATGTAGACCGCGACGATGGCGAGGTCGACGATGTTGGCGAAAGAGGCATGTCTACGCCTTCAGATGCATTTAGCGAGGAGCTCGTCAAACAAGGATCATCGTGAATCACAGCGATACCTAATTCAAGGTCGCTGTCATTATCACTTGCCGATGTTGACCGCGACGATGGCGAGGTCGACGATGTTGGCGAAAGAGGCATGTCTACGCCTTCAGAGACACAGTTGGACTAACTGTACGTGCGCTCCCAGCAGACGAAACGCCAATGTGACGTCACCATTTTTTTTCAAAGCGGCATCAGCTGTGCAGCGGCCTCGACGTGGCCGCGAAGTAGCGCTGCTAGCACTACAATTTGACGGACTTTGCACTCAATTCGAACCGCGTTCGATAGCGAATATATTAATAACATTACAGATACTCAGTTCGTCACTCAGATGCATTTTAGGCCGCGAATCGCTACTAGGGGATCGATAGCTACTCGTTCATGCAAAAATCTTGACATGAGTAAATTGGATGTCTGTGCTCCTTTAATGCAGAGTTAAGTCTAAGCATGTGAGTGTTTCTAGAGCTCCCACGTACAGGCACCTGAGGTGATCGGGAGTCACAGCAATGAGCTTGGACGCAGAATCTCATTGGCCTCATCACTGCCAGTATGTTGTGGCCATGAATTGGAAGGCAGTTCATTTCTGTAAAGATGCGACCACAACAGCAGTGACTGAACCAGTGTCTCTTGAGTCAGTAGTCAAGCATTGTAACCACAGTGTCCGCTGCGGCAAACACATACATCGACTTCCTAATGGATTGCTGCACCATTGTTGAAACGAAAGTTGACACAAGAAATTGACCCACAAATGCTTGCAAATGATAGCACCACCGATCAACCAGGATCATCCGCAGGCTTCTATAAAGAATCGCTGTTTTAAACATGCACTATGTTTTGTTTTGCAATGTAATCAAAAGGGGACTCGTGCATGCACTTCTGCAAATGACATACCGCGCCTCAACCAGAACACATTCTTCTTCATTCCAATGCCTGCACAAAACTGCAGTGTCATCAAATTTCTTAGTGTGCTGATTATTTTGACAGTTCCTTAAAATGATAGATGGTTCATGTCTGCAAAATTGACTGTCCCTGCTAGGAATGCAAAACTTCAAACCTTCAATTGCTGTTGATCCGATACTTTCCTGCTCACTGAATGAGTTCTCCTTATTACAAGCCCTTTAAAACTGATGGCAGCAATAAAAATAATAAAAGATAATTACAATATGTTTAGCAAATGCACGAAATGGGTCACGTAGGACAAGAGGATAGGACAGGTGGTGCGCAAACTGTTTATTTTCGCATAGCACATCAAATATACAGATGATTACACTGAAGATAACGACTACGTTGATAGATGTTCAAAGATACAAGCGACTTTTGACGACTTTCTGCATGTGTAGTCATAACTAATCTGGCAGTAGTCGAAGTGTTCAAAGCGGCTTCATTGAGAGTAACAGATGCAGAGCTCAATAAACAGTTGAAAGTTTGCACAACACCTATCCTGCCCTTTTGTCTCAAGTTACTTGTCTCACCTATTTTTCTCAGTGCAACATTACAACTAACGGTAATCACCAAGAAAAGGCGCTTTATATATCTGCCTCACCAGTTATGTGATTTGGGCACAATTTGGCATGCACTGTCATACAAACATGAGTACAAGTGCCAGCACCTGTGAATAAACTACTGCCGCCCATAAATATAGTCAGCTTCGTTCTTTTTTGAACTATCTACCTTCCCTCGACACCGATAAGAAAAAAGGGGCAAGTTTACTCGCGGCTCCTGCAGTAAGGAAAGTCGGCATACATACCAAGTAGGCGCGGACGCAACGTATAAGCAGCAACCAAGATCAAGCTTTCCGAGAAGTTCACATCTTTTTCCAGGAAAGATATATCGCAAACCGCGAAGCTGGAAAACAGCCGATACGGATTTGATACGAGCGTCGCACAAATCATCGACCTTGCGCTAGCCGCGTTCGATACGGCAGTTCGATTTCGGCGCCCCCGCCTCCATCTCTTTCGCAACGATTCAGCTGCGGTCTACCGTCTCTTGCTACCGATGAATTTGAAGTACTACACAATGCCACTCACGGGAAGACGCGGTTTCTGCCTAGTGTTGAGCCTAATCTAGGGCGCCTTTTCGAGCTTTCTGTGCAGCATCTGTTATACCGCGTACACTGGTCATACTACGGTTTCAACTTCTCATCGGACTGAAACGAAACACAGTAATGAGCCAATTACCTGAAGCATTGGAGTGATGCCAGTGCCTCCAGCGATCATACCGATCTCGTTAGCCTGATAGCTCTGGGGCGGCGACTTCTTGTCGGGTTTGATGGCGAACTTGCCTCGTCCTTCGTACCGTATCAAACCCGACGGTCCGCGCACCTGTATGGTGTCGCCGACGCTTAAGCTCTCCAGGTGTTGAGACATCTTGCCACCTTCGGGAAACTTTGGGTGCACGTTACGGAAGTACACTTTGACGACGAGGTCGAAGTAACCCTGATGCTTGTCGCTGGTCACGGGCGTGTAAGGCCGGGGCACTATCTGACCGTTGACGGTGGCGACTAGGTAGATGTGCTGACCAGTGGGCAGTCCCAGTACGTGCTCTGTAGAAGGCAGGGCGAATCGGAAAGCGCCTCGTATCGTGGCTGATCTCCTCGCGCTCGATCAGTTTGACCGTGTACTTGGTCTCGGGGTCTTCGAGAAGCACGGGGGGTCGGTACCGACGGTTCAGATACCGGTACAAAAGCGCGGCGGCCACGGCCGCCCCGATACCACTGAGCACGATGAGCAACGACATGGTTCTGACCCGCGACGAGCTCATGCCGTACTTGAGCGGAACCTCTCTCGCCCACTCTTTTTTTTTTTTTTCGTAGATGCGCTCTCACCCGTAAAGCCGAAAGAGCGTGAGGCTTGGTTCTTCCTTTATCGGCACCTGTTGTTTGGGTGAGTTTAGCGGGAGAGGGAGAATAGACACTTTTTTTTTCCTCACACAGCCCGAACGATTTCGGTCCAACCAGGTTCAACTCGACTTCCCGACAACCTTGCGAGCGCGCCCAGCGAACGCAGCGCCGTAAGACAACAGCCTTTTACAACGAAAAAAAAAAAATTTAGTCTTCTGGTGTGAGGGCAGTCAAAATCAACCAGCCTTGACTCCAAAAATCCCGGCGTTTAGGACGCACAGCTGGTGCGTGTTTACATACAGCGTACGCATGGTTCCACATTGCAAAACAGTCACGGTTTTTCTCAGGTTTCGTTTTTTCCCAGCGCGACCGAGGCGACCTCCAACTCTCTTTAGCCTTGCGTCGAGTTTTGCAAGCTCGCTAACGCGCCTGAAATGCGTCCTTGAGAGCCTGTCGCTCGCGCTGCGTCCACCTCGCGTGCTTTCTAGCGTTTCTTTGCGACTCTCTCTTTCTATTACAGCGAGCTCTGTCATATGGCATGCTTGGCCGGTTTCCAATAGCATGTGCACGGTGGAGTGCATCTTTGTGGTACGGCTGCTGATAAGAAGTCAAGTGTCCTTTTAACTCATGTCGTTACCTTAACGCGATGTCGCGCATGTTTTGAGAATGCTCTGCATAATTTGCCTCACCCTTCGTAGCCACTACAGTGAACTGAAAGAGGCATAGAAGAGGGACTTCAATTTCACAGTGGTCACCACATCGTATTCAATCATGTGCACAGTTAATCGCTATTAAGCCCAACAAGTATTATATTTTTGTGATTTGCTTCAGTCTGCAGCCTTGCGTAAAGGAGCCAGTTATGATCGAGTTATTCGATCCAAATCGGACCCAATCGTGATCACGACATTAGCGTTACTGGTCTTGAAGGCTATTTTTTAAGGACTACAACAGCCGTCTGTGGCGTCACTGACGGCCATATTAAGGACTATAAAACATTTTGCCGTAAGGGGGATTACTGTCGCTCCGCTGGTCCCCCGCTGGAGTGAGCTCTCCCGCTGGGAACAACCGGCTGCAATCATGGAGGTCGCGGGTGCCCGAAGAACACCAAATCGGCTCAGCCTGGACGACATGCCCTGCGAAATCCTCATAAATATATGTTCCTACCTGGACTACCAAGACCTGATACGGTACGCACGTTAGTATGAGCCCACGGGCTAGCCGCCTTTCACGCAGCTAATTCAAGACTGCCCACGAAGCGTCTGCTACCGTGCTACGTCCCGACTTTCCGCGTGTTTCTTGTCTCTTCTTAACGATCCTAATTGATTCTCGTAGTGCTTTCGTTTCGAGCGTCTCAATTGCCTATCTTTAGGTTAACAAGCCCGCGGCAGGCGTCCTGTTTTATGCGCGTTTGACATTCGCGGAACAGTTGTGAAGTTTATGGACGCTAGTACGGACACATCGGCTTGTTAACGGGCGTATGTCTGAAAGGTTGGCTGTTTCTTTCGCTTCTAACCAATGTTGGCGCTTATTTGGTGGTCTGTTCCCAGTTACAAACGTTCCCAGTTAACGCTCGTGTGCTCGATTCTACTGTGAAGTCGCCTCGTCTTTTATGACGGCAATCGTGCGAGCGCTACTTTTACGGTGTTGGTAAACTTGCGCCTGAGTACCTCTATCGTGTTTCTGTGTGCTGTGCGAAGCCCGTTCGTTTCCTTTGGGCGAGTGGCCATTCCGTTCGAATTCCAAACGACAATTGCATAACGGATCTTACTGTTGTAACATACAAGATCATAATTAAACTAAACCAACGCGATGAAACAGCATATATAGAAACCTCGAGGTTGTTACCGTAGGCAGTTGCAATTTTTTTTTTACTCTATTCATGTTGTGAGCGGCGGCTATCTGCTACTGTACATTTGTCAGACATATCCTTAATATCACCCAATTAAAAAGCTTATGAATGAACACTGGTTGATGATCGCACAGGCTATCAAAGTGTGCGCCCTGATTACCTTCACTGCTGTGGATATGGGACCACAGGTCTAACTCATAAAATATATACAGTGCTTAGGACTCACTCACACTTAAACTCGCCAAAATATTACCTGGACTCACTCAGACTCGCGGCTCGATCTGAGTCCCAGGTAGTCGCCTCATGAGTCTGTAAGTCTAGGATTAGATTTTTCGATCACGGTGTCAATACCCATTAACACCACTATCTCAAGTAATGGGTGCTCTTCCTGGAGGCTTTTGATATAGTACCTTCTAATATGAGTTGTGAGTGGTTGCAAATCAGCGGTAATGCTTTTCTTGAAAGAGCTGACAGTTCATAAGAGATATGTTTATCAAAAGCTTCCCCGGAACATTTGACATGGGCGCAGGGGGAGGAGTACAAAGCACTTTTTTTGCATGATTCACACCTCCTATCAATAAATATTGAAATGGTGTAAGAATGACGCTGCTTTGGAATACTTGCGGGGAGAAATGAGTGTAAACATGAATCTTGGTAAGGCTGTTAGAAATGCTGAAGATGACTATATATAAGATCATAGGCCAGCAAACACAAGTGGAACTTACTCAGACTCACTCAGGAAATATACCTTGCGATTTGGACTTGCTCGGACTCAAACTCACTAAAATATTACCCAGCCGTACTCGCTCAGACTCGAACCAAGTCACAGGGAGTCCAAGTGAATCTTCTCACTAGTGAGTTCGCCGAACTGTGTATGGGACAGTTGTTCTTCCGCTGGTATTTGTTCGTTGTTTAGCAGTTGGAAACAATGAATACATAAACACCTGGTGCGTGGATCGGTTGCACTGGGTGCTGCAGGCTTGTAGCTGTTGGCATCTGTGTCGTTCAGGTTAGAACCTCTCATTTGTATTTTGAAGATAATGCTACACGGCATGGTAATGATGTGGCCTATTACTTGTACTAAAAGAGTAGATGTATGTCAATGGTGAGGTGCTGCAACGGTATTCTGAGTACAGCAAATTTATTTACAGTGGTAGAGTTACAACGTGGGACAGATGTTAAGGAGCATTTCAAGTGCACATATGTATAATCTTCCCCTTCTTTCTCATATACATAAGCCACAAACCATGTTTTCCAAAACTGATGCACCTCTTCAGGCTATAAACGCTGCTTTGCAGTGCCCAAAAAAATAATACGTTTTTTTTTTTTCTGTTTGCAAACAGTGTAATGAAACACAGGGATTGATATTAAATTTACTTCAAAGTGTTTCGATTGTCCAAGGACACATTTGATGGTGAGCGTGTACAGTACTGATGCATTGTGCACTAATTGCTTGTGTAGAAGATTGCTTTGTGGCGTTGCAAATTTATTCTTTTCAACAAGATAAGCTATAAACGTAACACATTATAGCAGGTGAACGGAGGCTTATTAGCTTTCATGCACTTAAGAAAAGTTATTTCACAGAAAGCTTTAAAGGTGGACTGAAATAAGTGATGCTGCAATATTGTTTAAGAACCCCAAAGCTTGGACAAATTCATCCAATGGCCATTACTCCTACGGCAGCTATGCAATCGTAGTGCCTGTGTAGACATTTTTCCTCCAAATTTACGCTCCAGAAGGCATCCATGGTCATCTCACATAAATGTGCAAAAAAGATTAACTGGCAACGGCAAACCACAGTACTGTGCCGGTACACGCATGGCATAGAGTTTCCCAATTTTGTCGAAAGTGGGCCTTCAAACTCCTTGTACAACACAATGCATTGGCATGCTATTTACTCCCTAGTCCATAGTAACTTTGAGCATAATAAGGGTGACAGGAGACAGCTCTGTGTCCTATTGTCATTTTTGTGTCGTTTTATTGCACTAGAAGTTACTGTGGACAGTTTGTCGTATGAACAACTATGCCAATCATAGGAATGATCAGGCCTGACATCTTGCACAGAAAAACATGCATTCATGACGTCTTCCTCAGAGAAAAGTTAGTTAGAAATCAGCCATCTGTCTCATTTCTGTGAAGAAATGAGGTGTCGGTCTCATTTCTTTAAAAATAGTGTCAAATATTACATAAAAAAAGGCCTTGGTGTGGCCTAACTGCAATTCTTAATTCAAGGTTGCAGGTTTGACTCTCATTGTTTAAAATCCACTGGGTGCAGCATAGCATGAAACAATGTTTCTGCAGTATCTGTTTGCCGTGTTTTAGCTCACAATAAAAACGGAGTATGCATGGCATTGTTGGAGTCCTCAGCCACGGCATTCTTCCTAACCTGCTGTACAGTCTGCCGCGGTCAAGCAGTAGTTATGGTGCGTGACGTAGCTGTAGCTAACATTGTTGCTACCTGTTTGAACATCGCATCGACCCCAACGATGCCCTGTCCAGCATTTCGTGTCAGCTATGTTATCAAATCGCAATGTTTCTCAACCTTGTCCCTAGCTTTCTGTTTTGTTTGTGGCATCATCTATTGTAGGAGAAATTTGGTAGGAGAGTTAATTTATACTGCAGCATCAAAAGTTTCAGAAACAAGAATGTGACGTCAATGCCCAATCGCCTTACATCATGGTGCTAGAAGGAGCCCTTGAATATGCTACCGTACACACAGCTCGCTATTTGCATTCGAAAATTGCAAACCCAGTTACGACAGTTTTACAGATAGTGGTAAAAGAAGAGTTAGCCGAAGGAAAAATGATAGAGATATTCTAAAATATCAAGGTATACTAATCCTGTAGATTCCCGTCCGCAAAACGGCAGAGGCTTGTCTACAGTGCGATGTCAGTGCAAATCAAAGAACCCCAGATGGTCTAAATTTCTGGAGCTCTCCGGTACAGCTTCTCTCAAAATCATATCGTGGTTTCGGGATGTAAAATCCCATATATTATTATTTAGTTTCACATAGATGAAGTTTCTATTGTGCATGATAAGGATATGGAAAGTATGTGCAAAAATAAATCTGTGTTGGAGTCCATTGACCCACAAACACAATTAGGAAGGCCAAATACTTGATAAACTACTCCATTGAAGAATAGAGGGATCAAGTTAGAGAAAACTATTTTCATTGTTGTTTTTTTTTTTTGTAAAATTGGCATTTGCTGTGCAAGTTATGCAGTTTTTGTGAAATTGTCCTAGACTGCTGACTTACAATGTCCTTTTTTTCTATTTGTAGTACTTTAGTACTGCGAAGAAGCAGCAGCTCTTTCTGCCCCATTAATGTTCTCAGTGTGAGCATTTACGTTTCCGAAGATTTCGTATTTTTAAACCAACACACCTTTTGTTTGTCTAAGGTTTTTTTTTTCTGATTTCCTGTTCAAAAGCTGGCCTGCTCTTCTCAGTCCACATGCTCTGGTAGCGTAATGAAAAAAAAATCATTTATGGCCTAGCACAGTGAAAGGCTTGCGCTTGAAAGCACACAGACAGGATGCAAGTGTTCCTTAATTCAAGCGACTCCAGTGTGCCCGAAGCTCTGACAGTACTTTTTTTTATGAGCCTTCAGAACTCTTGACTACCATATGAACTGCCGTAATATTACTGCGTGTTTTCCACGTTACAAATGAAAGGTATCCAGGGATCACAACACACAGGAGATTCGGATTTCTGTGTGTTGACTTATGTTTGAGTAAGTGCATTAGCACTTTGACGAGAGATTTAGAAAAAAAAACGGGTTTGATAGGGGACTGTCGTAACATGATGCTTTCCGTTCAGAAGCATACCCTATAAAGACTGTCATATCTGGCTCCTGATAACAAATACTCGAAAGCCTGCACTGACTCTCAGTCAGTGAGTGACACGAACCCAAAGGATGTTATCTCCGTGGAAGTAGCTCAGTCGTTCAGGCCACCAGTGATAACTCGGACACATTTCCCTTTCACGCGAGTCCACTGGGGACGATGTGTTGACAAGTGCTCTGCTGCTATCTCTGAACGAAAGGCGATTGTTGGTTCGTGACAATGCAGCTATATTCTGTAGCTGTGTCTCATATTCTAAGCAACCGTCTCGCATAGCTGCTGCATCCGTTGTGATCTTAGAAGATAAGGGCTTTTTTCTGTAAGTGCTAAGAGTGAACTGGTATATCTTAGAACTTCTTGTTGGGCGAGTTGGTGCAAGTCCTATTGTAGGATGAGTGCTCAAATATTGGACGAACACTGGAAAAATGAGGTACTCAAAAAGAGGAAAAACTAACAGCTGGTTTATTCAAGAACGAATGACCAGCGGATAGCTTGTGCTTTTTCTGTATATGTTCATCCCATATTTGCATGCATGTCCGACTATGTGAACTGGTATTGAGTGAAGGAAAAGAAATTGTTACGGGGGTTTATCAAGGTACACAGCGACCGGGAGAATAGCAGCAAAAGCGGCTCGGCTCGGCGATGCAAAGTGATTGGCTCAGGCGATCGATTGGTGATGTACATCACAGAGGCCCCTGATTGGAACACGAGGATGGGAAATGGCAATGGCAGTGATCGGCGGCCGACTAGAAGTGCAGACGGTTCGAAAAGCACTGTGCCGCCGTCTTCAAGGTCACAAGAGATAAAGACAAGAACAGTAGACTAGGCAGGCACAATGGTGTCTCCATAAACTGTGATTTTGCGACATGTCTTTGTCATTGATGATGTCTTTCGAAAACGGGAAAAAGTCAAGTTCAGTACGGATGCAATTGATGATCGCATGATGTGCAGGAGGAAATCTCACCCTAATATGACATTGTGAGAACAAGATGGCAACACAATGAATTCGATCACATAAAGAACATCCTGGATGACGACACAGGCTGTGCAAGCACCGATGGCTCAATGTGCTGCGCGTTGGCTGTACGAAGGGATAGTCCAGAAACAGGCCTTGTGACTTTTCTAATATGGCGGCAAATGCGCGCATCAATTGCTGAAAAGGAAGCCAGCACCGGTGTCAACAAGGGCTAGCGTTCAAGCTTCCTTCTATGGCGACTTCAATAACGTTTTGGGGAGAAATTTGAGGCTTTATGCATTTCACCAGAACCGCAGTTCTCACCTCCTGAACTGTGCTACTTAGTTTTCGTGGCGCACAGGGCTCCGCCGTCGGTGCATGGGGGAAAGATAGCAGCGGTAAAAAGCAAGCGGCGAAAGAAGGGTGGGGTCCGAGAGGTAGGACCAGATCCGTAGTCGTCTGAGTAACTGCGGCAGGGTTATCTGACCCATAGTGGACGTGATCCATGATGGCAATAGGCGGTGCACGAAAGCGACAGTAACGGGCCACATGTTCAACAAGGCCAAAATGAAAAGAAATAGGACGATTGTCTTCCGTGCGCCAAGGGTCGTCGGCTCGTGCGTACTGTACGACTGGGCGGGCGGGCAGCGATATTGGCGGGCAAATGGGCGGACTACATGGGCTGTAACCCTGCAGCACAGGCCTGGAAGTGACTGCAACGTACGACAGCGGAGCAGCAGTTGGAGCCTGACGGAGAGAAGGCGGGACTTCTTTGGCAACCTGGTCCCTGATGAAGTTTTGGAGAGCGGGCGCCAACGGGGAATTAGACTGGTGGTAAACAAGCGGCATCAGCGAAAGCTGGCGAGCGACCTCTTCATGGACGAAATCCTTAATCTGTAGCAGCAGAGATGAGTTGTCAGGAGCAACAGCCAATCCTGACATTGAAGTCACCTGTGGATGGGAGTGGCACGTGGCTGTGCCTTGTTTGTGCAGCTCATCAAAGCCTCGGAAAAGACTGACAAGTTCAGACACTGTGGATGGGGTCTTTTGCCAGCAGCATCTGAAAGGCGTCATCTTCAATCCCTTTCAAGATATGCCCGATCTTATCGGCATCGGCCATTGCGACATCAACGCAGTTACACAGGTTGACAACGTTGTTGATTACTTTTTAACGTTCTGGGCTGGGACAAGGAAACGAGAAAGAAGAAGAGCGCGAGCGAGGGACGCGGGGACGCTCAAGTGACAGCAGAGCGCTTCCGAACGCAGTTAAACAAACAAGTATTTTTTGCCTTATATCTTAAAGGCGGAGTTGAGTCTGATCGCAGTGTCTGGAATGCCATCGTCTAAACATTGGTGCCGTGACCAGGATTGAAAACCAGGACCCTATAGACGGCTACCAGTCAACTGCAGCGGCATGGAGCGACTGAAGTCGAAGCGGACGTCACGGCGAGCACAGAACATGAGGATTACAAACGAGGCAAGTGAGCTCCTCGCTAATGACTCTGCCTCCTATGACCAGCTCAACTCCATATATGAGAGGCTGAAGGCTAATAACAAAGAGCTTAAAAACCTGAACAACGAGATTGAGCCGCATATACCTGATGAGGAGTTCAAGGTCGAGTATAACGCTGTCTTACAATACGAGGACGTTGCTACGCGCATTCTCGCTGAGATTCTCAGCAAGAAAGATCGCATGCTAAGGACATCGACCGGAACTCAAGAAACAGTTGCCCAGACAGTCATAGCACCATTAGACAGAACTGGAGTTAAATTGCCTAAACTGACAATAGCTCCTTTTTTTGGAGACCTATGCAAGTGGACCGAATTTTGGGAACAATTTTACCAAATTGTTCATAGTAACAATCGCATCACTGCCACAGAGAAGTTTCATTACCTGCGACTGTATCTTAAAGGAGACGCTGCATCAGTAATTGCGGACCTTCCGACGACAGAAAGTTGCTACTGTGACGCCATCAAAATGCTACAGAAGCGATTTGGGGACAAGGCGCGCCTGGAGCAAGAATATTTTGCCAAGCTACGAATGTTAAGCCCTGTCCGTTCATCGACTGACACCAAAGCGCTACGCAGCTTGTACGACCAAGTTCTCGTGAATATCCGAGGCTTAGAGACTTTGGGTGTGCACAAGTCGTCATTTTCGACAATGCTCTGCGACATCCTACTGCGTGCTCTTCCACGGGATATAGTCGTGCAGTATCATCGATCATGTGCCGTCCAGTTGGCATATGACTCGAGAGCTGAAGCTACACCCGTTGGACTGGACCGTGTGCTCAACTTCCTGTGTATCGAGCTGGAAAGCCTGGAGAAGAGTGATTTTAAGGATGCCAAAGGACGAGAACATGGAACACTCCCCCCCCGTGGCCAGTCAGTCGACGTACTCTCGGCGTGGGAAACCGTCATCTGTGCTTCACAGCAACTCGGTACGAGAAAAAAAGGACAACTGCGTATTCTGCTCGTCCAGCCATCACGGATCGGAAGCCTGCACAGCTGACTTGTCACTGACGCAGAAGAAGGAACTGCTTTCCAACGACAAAAGGTGTTTCCTTCTTCTGCATCAGTGACAAGTCCCAGGTTTCGGCACACAATGTTTAGACGATGGCGTTCCAGACACTGCGATCAAACTCAACTCCGTCTTTAAGGTATAAGGAAAAAAATATTTGTTTATTTAACTGCGTTCGGAAGCGCTCTGCTGTCACTTGAGCGTCCCCGCGTCTCTTGCTCGCGCTCTTCTTCTTTCTCATTTCCTTGTCCCAGCCCAGAACGTGAAAAATAATCGACAACGTCCTCAATGTAGCTGGTGAATGTTTCACCATTCTACTGCGCACGGCCATGCAACCGTTGCTCGGCTCAAAGCTTGTGAATAGCGGGGCGCCCGAATACTTTCGTCACGTGTGTTTTGAAAGCAACCCATGTCGGGAAGTCGTGTAGATGGTTTCGATGCCACACGCCTCTCAAATAAAATGACATGTAGTTTGATTGTGCTTACCCGTTCGTATTCGGAGAGCCAGTCTTCAACATCCTCCTCTTCTGTACTGCTGAAGATTGGTTGGTTGCTTTGACCCGATGGGCCAGGGCAGACCAATGTGGGCACCAGGACAGCAGGTTGTTGCTGCGGTTAATTTGGTACTTCATCTGGCGTTGCAGAGGCTGGCTTGAGTTTCCGTTGTGAAGTTCCAGTTTGTCGCTACCCAGCACCTCCACCACTTGTTATGGGGGTTTATTAAGGTACATAGCGACCGGTAGGATAGCAGCAACAACAGACAAGGCGTAGCCAGGGAGCAAACAGCCGAGCGATCCAGGCAATTTCTATATATATGTGTGTATATATATATATATATATATATATATATATATATATATATATATATATATATATATATATATATATATATAGATCTTTATACAGTTGGCTAAAAAATGCAGGTGTAATGATCGTCTGAGCTCTAGTGCATTATGGCAACATGAATTATTGAACTAGGTTGGCATACTGACAGGAAAAGCACTGAATATGGAAAGGGAATGATGACAGACACAACAACACTATGCTTCGTCAAATTATATGTAATCTAGATCGCAAAAGTTTAGGTAGGATAACCTAAAACTTACATCAAGGGCAAAAATTTCATTGTCTCTGTATATGTGTCAACAGCAAGATGTGGTGAAAGGATCAATTAAATTCTCTAGCCTTATGTGCGAAAAACACGATACAATGATGAAGTGGCATAACTACCATTCACAAAAATCGCATATTGATAAAGATTACTTTTGCAATACCATAGTAGCAGCTCTCACACAAACACTAGCAGCTATATTTTGTTTTTTGTTTGGTAGCAGACTGCAAATAATTCTTTCAAAAATTATAGTGATAATGCGACAAAAATAACATTTTGTCTGGTTTTTCTCTCACTTGACAGTACATTCTCTTGCCACCAGCTCATAAGTCTTCAGATAAAAAAAAGCTACTAAAATGTTGATGAGTGTTATTGGATATGAACGAACTGCATTGTTGAAGAAGTTAACAATAGAACTCAGTGGTACAGTGTAAATGGTCTCAGTTCGAACATATAAGCCACAAAATCAATGAGGTTCCGTGGAATGCTTATGAAGTCTCATTGCTTGCACTCATTCAAGTGTCCTGGAGTTGTTTTGTCATGCAAGTAGTATGTATCATGAAATAAATAGATTTAGTGAGCAGATTCAGATGTTTATGACTGGTTTTGACCTTTAAATGTGACTTGTATTTAAGCTGTTTTTTCTTTGTTCTCAATCATTTGACATTTTGCTATAATGACTTTTGCAGGTGCAGCCGCCTCAGTCGTCGGCTTCGGGATGTGTGTGCCCACGACCCCCATTGGCGCGGTCTGTGCTGGAAGTACTGGCTGGAGACAGAGTGAGGACGCTATAATTAATAATAAATCTGTACAGCTGAAGGCTAACACAGTGGTAATGTCGCATGATACAGTTACGTGTACTGGATGGCTGATGGCCATTTATGCAAGTGGTCACCTATTATGGTTAGTGGTAGGAATAATAAAGTAAATTACTGTACAGTGAACTAAAGAGAATCGGATCCTTCAAGCGTGTAGTACCAAGAAAATCTTGCTGTGCTTGCCTCGGGAATGGAATTCCAACTTGCCAACTTGGACAACCCTGCACACACGAACCAAGCTGCAACTTTTGATTAATTATAGCTATCTTTGTAGTGCAATGACCTATGTGCATCTATGCATGATCTCAGTTTCTAAAGTGATCCGCTGTTCTTTTAACAATTTGAAACTGTACGACATGATTTCCACAATTTTTTTTTTATAATTTTAAGCTGGGTTCACCAACAAGGGCACTGAAAGTAACATCTAAGTGTCAGGGCTGTAGCCAGAGGGGGCGTGGGGATATGTTGGCGGTTCAACCCTTCCTGAAAATTAGATGCGAAGCAGCTTATGGCCGAGTTCAATCCGGTGTGCATAACCACCCTTTCTGCGCATGCACAACAGCTGGTCCAAGCACTGCCAGAACATGCTCACTCTCTAGCGCATTCCTGCCTTTGTGAGGGGCTGAGCAAGACACTGTGGCCTCTCCCCCTTACACTCTTTCAGCAATCTATGATTGCGTAGAAGAACGAGATTCCGCAGACGCGTGATAAACTCACGTGGCATGCTCCAACAAGAGTTCGGGACGAGTAACAGCAACACAAACCACAGTGAATTCATGGTTTGCTCCACTCGCAAGGACACTTTAACATCGGGCAAGGTACCGATGCTAAACGGAACTTTAAGTTGACTTGCAGATACAAACACACATGAATATACATAAAGTATAATATAACACCCCCCCCACCCACCCCTAAAAAAATTGTGGCTTTGCCCCTGCAGTGTACACTGACTTCAGTGTTCAAGGCAACATTGTGTTCACCAAAGCATGCCTGTGGAAAGTTCATGTTTTCATTCTTTGCTCTGGCATTCTGTGTGTCATCAAAGCATCCAGCTCATCTTGTAAATCTATAGGCTATCACAGATCAGTTTGTTGTGAAGAAGTTCATAAAATAAAGAGGCACGTTTTTGTAGGGGCATGTAGGGAGAAGCATCATGCACTATCTGGCGAACGCTATTCGCTTGCAATCTGCTCAAAATAGCTAACTGAGCAAGCAAGACCCATTCCGATGGCTGTTGAAAGACTTGACGCTGATTGTTGACGAGACAGTCCACTGCGGGGTGGGCACTGCCCAACCTTTTCAGTCCGGCCTCCCCGGTGAGGCTGGTTCGCTAGCTGTGCCGACGCTCACGTTGCATGATGCACTTTCTGCCACAAAATTCGCCAGTCTTCCTGAATGCACCTTAGCTTAACATGCATGGTAGTTCATGGCGGGGCTTTATCAAGGTTTAGGTGTTTCAGCAGCTACCAGTAGCCACAATACCCTTAGTCATCTCGCGTTTCATTCTGGAAGTCAGATTGACAGCAGGCTTTCACTGAACGTAAAGAGAGGGAAATGTTGGTGAAGAAGAACATGTTGAGACAAATGCTGCAAAAGCAAATACATATTGCGCTGTTCATGTTCAGCATATATTGCCAACTATCCCCATTCAGCCTGCTTGGTAGTGCATTACCCTCTGCCAGGGCACATGTCATGCATACATTATATTGAAGCCTTCATTGACTGTACAGTGCTGGCAAGGAGGTAACACTAGAGAAGAATGTAGTGGTAGCTACGATGTGAAGTCCAGTGGCTGCTCACTTCTCATTATGCGAGTTATTTCTCTGTTGACAAGCTTCAAGTGGCATGACAAGCCAGAGGCAGGCCAAATTAGCTTGGCACGTCCAATAGATACTAATGTAGATACCAGTGTGGACTAGCCCCTGCTTGACAAAAAGGGTTGTGAAGAGGGTCTGTGTGTGGCATTTGTTTGCCACAGCCATCCATCGTTCTCTTGACGCTCGCGCGCTATTGTGTCCATTGCAGGTTACCAGAAGGTGCCACATGGCGATCACACTTCCAGGAGCTGTACCACGACCTGAGGCGGTACGTGCACTGCTACGCGGCTATGAAGACCGCCTGGCAGAAGATCAAGACTTTCATGCAGAAGCACTGCCCAGTCATCGCCCAGTCCATCAAGGGTAACGGTGTGCGCCTGACCGCTTTATTGGCTGAATGAATAAAATGACCCGCATTGTTATTTGAATAACCTCGGAGATAATTTCATGTTTTCCGGTTCATTCGACCCCCACCCACAATCCACTGTAAGATTGCTTTTGTTTTGCTTTTGTTTTAATTTTTTAATAGACTTTTTAAAATGCCTGGTATCTCGATATGTTTCATGGTTGTTGAACAGTGCAATGAGCAGTGCATTGTGGCCAGGATACTAAAAAGTATCCTATCCACAAACTGTTTAGCCTTGAGGAACTCCTGACAGCTTCCCTGAAATGCCTCAGAACCCCTGCCCACGTCCTGTCAATCTAATGTATATGAAGAACGAAACGAAACATGTGCCTCAGGTTCTGCCTAGTGTCAGTATTACCGCCGCCATCAGACCCCTTCCACACAGTGCGCCAGTTACTGTGACCAGGTCTTGCAAGTAGTTGCTTATGGAGAGTTTTGCAGCGTAGTATTATTGAGGAAATCCTTGCAGTTGTCCATCACAGGATTTTTCAAGCGACTATTTCTCATTCATTTCCAGCTGGAACAACGGAGGAGCAGTTGGACGCGGCTGAACGCAAACTGGGCGTTCGCTTTCCGGATGACCTGCGATGCTGCTATCGGATCCACAATGGGCAGCGGCTAGCCTCGCCAGGGTAAGTGGAGATGACTTTTCATCAATCACCAACAGCCTGGCGTTTGTTAAAATCGCCGTGTAGACTAGCCTTAGGGCCGCGCCAATAAAGAAGCTGTACTACTAATTTCGTAGCATACACTTCTTCGGAAAATGTACAATCAAGAACGAATACTTAGAAAAATTTCACTCTGTATGTTTCAAGTATTCATGAATATTTCAACCAATGAATTCCAGGTAAAATGTAAAGAGCTTGGCATTAAGTCTCGAAACTTCAAAGCTCTTTTTTTCTGTTTATGATGTTTTTAGTGGCGATGATTTTTTCTGTGTCTGTTTTTGTATTGCTTGGCTGCTTGCTGAACAAGGTTCCCGATTTCAGTTTGATGGGCAGCATGAGCATTCCGACACACTACCGGTCAGAATCCCTGTTGGACCTGGAGACGGCCATTGCCGGTTTCCAGGTAAGAGAGACATGGCTGACGCAATGCAGAGCATCTGTTCTAATAGCGACACATAGCCTTCTGTACTCACCACAGCTTGCATGTAATAAAGTCATAGATGGCCCCGTTGCGGTGGTCCAGCGGCTAAGGTACTCGGCTACGAACCCGCACGTCACGGGATCGAATCCCGGCTGCGGCGGCTGCATTTACGATGGAGGCGGAAATGTTGTAGGCCCGTGTGCTCAGACTTGGGTGCACGTTAAAGAACCCTAAGTGTTCGAAATTTCCAGAGCCCTCTACTACGGCGTCTCTCATAATCATATGGTGGTTTTGGGACGTTAAACCCCACATATCAAAGTCATAGATGTGCAAATAAAGACGAAACAATAAGGCGATAATGAACTCGGATATATTGAAATGTTAGTTACAAGAAAGTAAATGGCAAATAGTTTTGTAATAGATATAATATTAAGAATATACCTGTATAACAAATTTTTGGATATAATGAAATTATTTTCATGTAAAATTCAACTTTGTTATTACGAGATTTGAGTGTATCGGATGCCATTGGCTACTTCAATTACAACTGTTCAGTGCCATGTGCTTCCTTCTTTATATTACATTAGATTTGCATCGCAATCGCTTCAGATTTCAAAGCAACTAGCTCGAGAACAAGTTACTTTTGGCATTTTGCATTGGTTGACCTGGAGCAGGATTTTTTTTTTTCCTGAGCAGGATTTACCTCTCCGCAGTGCACGTTTCTGATTCATGAATCATGAGTGGGTCGTCGCGATCTACTGGCCATTTTGGAGCGATTCACTGCACATTTGCGTTTGATCGTACGCTGACAGTACATGCTGCACCTTCTGAAACAATTGATATCTTTGTTTTCATGGAGTGCAGAGCAGGGATGGCCTACAGGGCTGCATGCCGCTCACGTTCTGCCTACACTCGGGCCTGACCCAGTTCATAGCACTCCACGACACAGATGGCCACGCACCTGGATGCGTCTTCTACCCCTCGCAAGACCTCACCCAGGGTGTCAGGGGGCACCCTCTCGATGCCTTCATCACCGGTGAGTCCTGGAGGGTGTCAGGTAGCACGAAGAGGGCGGCAGGGAGTACCCTCTTGACGCCTTCATCACCGGTGTTTTGTTTCACAACAACCGCATTGTAGTTAGTACGGTCACGGTTAATATAGCTGAGAGAGGTTCGTCTGTACATCTTTTCTTCTTATTCTTAGTTTGCTCTGACTCAATGCATTGTTCTACTTATCATGGTAGATGGCAGTACACGAAACAGGGGTGTAGCAGCACAATTGGTAGCAAGTTTGCTTCAGTGAAGGCTATGGAAAACATTGGCAAGTGAGCTTTTTAAAAATAGTTCGGCCACTGTTGGTCTGTAATAATCAAACTGCTAATGGTTTTTTAGCTGTCTCTCTCTCAGACTTTACTTACTGTAGCTGCTCATTCCTCTTGCCAACTAGTGGGCGTATGCATCTGAGCATGTGCACACAAGATCATGTTTGCATGGAAGCATACACTACACATGCACTAGCTTTAGACAGTGAATGGAGAAGTGATGTTGAAATGAGAAATATTGAGTAACTCTGCCGTCTATCGCTCTGTTTCTATCCTCTCCACTATTACATCGATAGGTACTGAACGTTCCTGCCCTCACTGAAGTCATTCTGTTGACAGCGCACAGCTTGCAGTCATACAAACTGCTGCTTAGTTTGGGATTGGCTGGGACCACTGAGTTCTATGGCACTAAATTTGTCACTAGTAAACTGTGTAAGCATTACAAGGAAGTGCATTGAGTAAGTGGCAGTAAAGAATGCTATTGTGTGTATAGTTACTCATAACTTGAGTATGTAACATCACACAATGCGTGCATTGTGTATGCTGAGCTTTTTTAACCGAACTTCAAGAATGTGTTGCATGCGTAGCCCTCTTCACTTCAAAAGAATGTAACAAGATTGTCTTTGACAGTTTTCTTCTACGCACGAAATTGTGAGCTCAATTTTTGTCTACAACAAGAAATCTTGGAGGAAAGTTGAATGCTAAAGCACTTGTTTGATAGTTTTAGGTGCATGCTTAAGAACCAGTTTAGCATAATGTTTCCACTGAACCCAGGTTAAAACATTAGCTAAGCCTGCTTTTCGTGAAATATGTTGTTTCATACTGCTTCCGAGTGCTTGCGTGCTGGCCTAACATTCAGGTTGCCATTTTGTAGCCCGGTCCTTCCAAGAGTGGTTCACAGGTTACGCCGACATGCTGGAAAACGAAGAGTTTGTGGTGCTCGACAATCAACCCTACAGGTAACATTTCATTTGTTTGTTCATATTGTTTTCGGCGTTTAGCTTTTAGCCTTCAGTAACGTATTTTTGGCTTGGTTTGCTCATCCCCATCAGCTGTGCCTAATTTTATCAGAATACATCTATTGCTAGCTTTCAAAGCAATGCAACTAATTATATAAAATGGAAAAAATACATATAAATAGTAATAGATGATTTCACATGTTTCCTATTTCCGTTCACGTATATGCCTGCATTCCTCGTCGTCAGGTTCTACCACGTGCCGGGCTGTGAACTGACGACAGACAACATCACCGTCTCAGTGTCAACATGCTTCATGCCCGAGCTGAGCAGTGTGAATCCCCCTCACTTCTTCCACACGTACCGGATCACGTGAGTGCAGCCACCAGAAGTCCAGCGTTTCCATCTTATAGCTTTGCAGTTCGCTTTCTCTGGGCACTAAAAGCACTCAACTTGTCTTCCGGCCGTGGATCCCGCATGGCGTGGTCACGCTTGAAATCAAGTGGTCAATACAGGCTTGAAACAGACTTGGTAATGCTGAAAAATGTGTTAAACTAAAGAAACACACTCTTAAATAATGTAATTAACAAAACCATGAAGTAAATGCCACACTTAGCTTAACATCGCTAAATATACTCAAGACTGAAACCCATGCCACATAAAAAGAGGGTGCCACCACCTCTCCAAGCACGCAGTTGTTTTTCTCTCTGGCGTCTTCACTAAACCTGAAGGACAAAACAACCTGACGGAACTTGCTGCAGGCAGCATGTACCTCAACTGCGTAGGAGGTCAATAAAACGTATCGAAAATAGCGCACATGTCATACACCGAGTTTCCGAGTCAGTCTAACAAGATTCTATGTGTGCCAGGGAAACTCTGCGCACTTGCGTCAAACATTGCCATCATTGACGGTTCGGTGCATGGAGCATTGAGAACTCTACAAAGAGTGTATTGCTGGGTGCTCATGCGTTGCACTTCCTCTGGTCTCACACTTAGTATAACTGCACTTAGCATTGGTTTTGGAACTACGCTAATTGATAAACAAGACTGGCATTATCGCTGCTGTTTTTTATATATATACTTTTGTTACCATGTGCTGCAACAGATGGCTAAATAGTTGTGATAATGATAATTTGGTGGCTTCGGACTCAGCGACTTGACATCTCAGCTATGTGTTGTCAGAACACACTAAATACTGAGAAGCCTGTTACACTTAAACTTGGATAAAACGAGATATTTGTTATTACGAAGTAAATTAAGAATAGTCTCCGCTGCGGTGGTCTAGTGGCTAAGGTACTCGGCTGCTGACCCGCAAGTCGCGAGATCGAATTCCGGTTGTGGCGGCTGCATTTTCGATGGAGATGAAAATTCTGTTGGCCCGTGTGCTCAAATTTGGGTGCACGTTTAAGAACCCCAAGTTGTCGAAATTTCGGGAGCCCTCCACTACAGCGTCTCTCATAATCATAGGGTGGTTTTGGTACGTTAAACTCCACATATCAATAAATCGATAGATTAAGAATAGTCTTTCAATAGATATAGTGTTAGGAATACACATTTACAGTGGACTCCTTTTAAACGGAACTCCAAGGGACAAGATAGTTTGTTCCATTTATGAGAAGTTTTATATAAGCAAAGCTTACAAAATGAATGAAATATGACTTTATTTCAAGAGCACCAACTGTCACTGACTGAGCAAAAAGATTTTGAAGTATACAACACTACTATAGTTGATAGAGAAAAAGAAATGTCGCTAATATAGCTGACTCCAAAAAAATAAGGTGATAACGACTTGCTCGGCCTTGTTCAAGTACTTTCTTACATAGTAGGAGTGCATTGCTGAAAGGCTGGGCAGGAACCATGTGCCACCATCGTGTTCAAAGTAGCGCTGCAACAAGATGACAGCGTCTCTTGCTGCAATGTCAGCCACTGAAATGAGCTCAGGATCACACACCATCTCATCACTACCTGTGCACAGGTCCTCACCTTGAACTTCAGCTATAGGTTCCTCAAGGCTGTCCTCAAGTTCACGACGAGACGTCAATTGCTGCTCTGTGTACGCGGACATAAGCAATCGCTGGATTGGCTTGACAAGGCTAGGCCAACATTGGCATTTGTTTTATAGTTGCTACCATGGCCACTTCCGCCATTCATGGATTTTGCCCGTTTTAGTTCCATTTAACCGACGTAAGCAAACAAGAATGTTCCGATTACCCAAAACTCTTTATCAATAACTATATAGGAGACCAACCAAATGTGCCTGGATAGTTTCGTTTATGCGCTTTTCCATTCAACCGAGTTTCGTTTAATGGGAGTCCACTGTATACCAAATTTTTGGGCCCTGCCGCGGTAGTCTAGTGGCTAAGGTACTCGGCTGCTGACCCGCAGGTCGTGGGATCGAATCTCGGCTGCGGTGGCTGCATTTCCGATGGAGGCGGGAATGTTGTAGGCCCGTGTGCTCAGGTTTGGGTGCACGTTAAAGAACCCCAGGTGGTCAAAATTTCCGGAGCCCTTCACTGCGGCGTCTCTCATAATCATATGGTGGTTTTGGGACGCTAAACCCCGCATATCAGTCAATCAATCAACGAAATTTTTGGTTATACCGAAGTTAATTTTGTGTAAGAAGTGACTTAGTTATAATGAGGTTTGAGTGTATAGTTTTTACACACAGGATGTCTATGTCTGAAGACGCGTCTGACCGAGAGAGCTGTCAGCTAGAAACCCGCCATTGGATCATCACCGACGAGAATGGGCTGGAGGAGCGCGTTGATGGTCGAGGTGTTGTGGGTGAGTGACAGATGCATAGTCTGCGATTTCTTATGCGGCATGCTTAGCCTTTTGCTCCAAAACGTCGGCCCACCTTCTGTCCATTGTCGTCCGAAAAATGACATTTCAAAGCTCAAGTGAGAGAACTTTACTTTCTCGTTTAGAAATTGTGCATAATGCAGTTAGAAAAATGTGCACATTAATCGACCACAACATAACTAGACGAGCAGTGCCCGACCACAAACTTCTGCAACCATGTTGTGTTGTCAAAATGGGCTTGACAACGAACTGCAAAGGGTTAATATTTCTTGATGTCATTCTACAGTAGCTGCTGTTATAATGGCATGTGAGACAATGATTTCATACAATAAACCTTGTGTAAAAATGTTCTCGCATCTGTATGAAATCTGCTCATTCATTACATTTTGCAATCACGACAGTGCAGTGACAGATTAGACTGGTGTGCTCTGGGTAACAACCTCTATGCTCAAATTAATGTCCGATTAGTACCGTGGCCGGCTTATAAGAGCTGCTGGAGGCTCTTATTAACCAAACTCTGCTGTATAATTAGCTCAAGCTCCTCCACTGTCATACACCCTGTTATGGGAATAGGTTTCACATGGTCTCCATCTTGGAAGCCGTCATTGTCTGTATTACGTGTCACGCAGGCGAGTACCCTGTGATGAGTCCCGGCGCATACTTCTCGTGGGTGAGCTGCACCAGCCTGAGCACCACCTTCGGCAACATGAAGGGCCACTTTGTCATGCGCAACTTGCACACCGGTGAGTTGTGAAGGTAGAGGGGTCACATCACACTATTTGCAGGTTGGAAGGGAAGAAGTGGATTGTTTTTCTTTGTGGGGTGTGATATCAGTTAGATTTGCAGTCGATTATGCCAGGGAAAGTAGTAATAGGGGATTTTATTAGCACTAGTTAATGTAATGTAAATACGAAGAAAGAAAAGTGAACGAAAAGATGACTTGCCGTTAACAGGGACTGAGCCTGCAGGCTTCAAGTAGCGCGTCTGATGCAGTGGCAAATTGTCTTTTCATCTACTTTTTCCTGTTCACATTACAATATAATTACTACTACTAGTATCCACTGTACTTTTCTTGGCATCGATTAGTTCACATTGATAATTGCAAACATCATTTTTATGGCAATGAAAGGAAAGTAGTCAATTTCCGGGCTAGTCAGTGTGACATTGCTGTGCCAACAGAAGTATAATGCTGCGCAGCTGGTACACTTGGTTTGTTTATGAGCCACTTGCTCAAGCTGGGTTGTTACTTAACAGCAACAAGAAACTATCAAAAGATTTTGAAAAAGCAGTCTCTAATGTTGACATTCAGTTCCTAGGAGTTCAGTTCGTAGACAAAAAAGCCATTTTCATGAACGGCAAAAAGAACAGCGCCTCCCGATCATGTACACTGGGGTGCATGAGTATTCACACCTAACACAGGCTTCTTGTGTAAACGCAGGGCAATCGCAGTGTGACTGTTGTTATAAATGCTTGCCTATAAAAACACGTATACCTATAAATCTCGCCGTACCGATGTTGCACATCCGTGGTAACGCAGGTTCTCTCTCACGAAAAGCAATACCTCAGCAATGCCTAGAATGAGAAGTTGGATGTTAACAACACAAGGTCATATCTTAGCAACGTTTGCCAGTGCCTTAATAAACCTCAATATAATGAAACGGGATATAACGAAATATTGACTCTAATGAAGTAAGTGAAAGAAGTCACAGCTTTGCCACAATGGCAAAGCAGTGAAAGTGATAACAACAAATTTGAAGGTCACGCAAAGAATAACAAGCAGATCAAAACGTGCCCAGCATTTCTGCCGCACAAATGAAGCACGAAACGTACTCACAGGTACAGATGAATGTGAATAAGTATCTCGATTGTTACTTCCCTGTGTCTGAAAAGCGTGCCCTTTTCCCAAACGGAGACTATGCAATGAGTGCAGTGACCTTTGTGCACCTGCTAACTACAACACAGTCGTTCCGGTGAAAGCCCAAGGCGTACGATTGTCTCCGCCACGTGATATGCAAACGAATGCATGAACTTCCCCTCTTCGCGGGGCAAAGTACCCATGGGAGAGCGCACGCCGCTGCATTGTGAAGGTCTGGCGATGCATGCTCAATGCGCCATCTCGCTGGTAATGCTGAAAACACTATAGTTTTCCCAAGATGCCCATCGGCAGTGTTAAGTAGTAGATTAAAGAGCTTGTCGTTTGAACCTTGAAGGAGGTGCTCCTTCGTGGCTCAGTGGCTAACGTCTCGCGCTCACTCACAATTGACCGGTCAGACGTTCAATTCCGCATGTCGGAGTCTTTTTCCAGATTATTTTTCTTCCTTGCAAATTCATATTGATGCAGAACAGCCACTGCAGCCTTGCTGCATGAAAGAGAAAGACGACGACGGTTGCTGGTTGTTGGTCTGCTGCCATCTTGTTCACCCAGTACTCCAATTAATTAAATAACCAACCCGTAACATTATTAGTGGAAATGGGCGACACCTGTACCTCAATGGAGACGCGTCACAACACCGAGGCAGGGTCGCAACACCGGGGATATATATATATGTAGATACATATACAGTGAAGGACAATGTCGCCGACAGAAAAATCCAGAGTGTGTTCATATAATTGATATCGCAATAAAATGTTCTTGCCATAGATATAGTATTAGGAATAAACCATTATAATGAATTTTCAGATATAGAGAACTCTTTTTTGTTTAAGATGCATCTCTTCTGTAATGTGGTTTGATTATATTATGCTTACCTAACCTGAAATTGAAGCATTGTATTTCTTGTTTTGTAGTATGTACTTTTCTTTCTTATTACCCATCAGAGCTTGTGGCAGTATCAAAGCATGTGACGCGCCAGCAAATGACAAAAAAACAAGAGAAAGAAGTGGTTACATAGTGTGACACCCATTCGCTCAATACAATTAGCAAGCAAACATGTTGTCATTGCATTGAGGTTTTCAACACTTTTTGTTCCAGGCGACATGACTGAGGTGCACTGTCCTGTATTCAACATGAAGTGTCTACCGTACGTCACGTCGGCCGAGCGAGAAGCCATCAAACGTCAACGGGATGCCGTCAAGAAGGCACAGTGATGACCTCCGCCTGGAGCTAATCCAACTCAGCGTCTTGTGCTTGTTCCATCTGTCGTTATGGTGGTTAAGTGTCGGCGCGACAAATGCCCTCGGCCGTTCTGCTGCACCGGCATCTCAAAGCGCAACATGACCGTCACACATCAAGTTGATTCGGTCTCAACGAATGCTGTAGTGTGATTCAGTTGGGCAGTTTGCAAGCTGACTGTCATGCCGGTGAGCTCAAGGCCTCGCCAACTCCGCCGTCACACGCTCCGTCACTGTGACGACTCTGTTTCTCATTTTTTTATTGGTCAGTTGGTTGTTGGAGCATGTAAAATCTGTGTTGGCAATAATTTTCGTGACAAGGGTCAGCAGTTTTTTTTTTTCTCTTAGTTTGCAGGTTAAATGCAAGATAGTTCAAAGTGAGATGATTGGTGCAACCGTTCCTGTAGCAGTAAGGATATTGGAGCGTAGTGCACTACTGTTTTGATAAAAAGAACATGCATTTACAACAAGCAGTTCCCTACCTGCAAAACTGATGCAATGCACATTTTTTTTTCTTAGCTTATCTCTTGTAGATAAAAGCTATGCTTTTCTGAGCACTCAAGCTATCAATGGTATTCACTTTTTTTTTCCAGGCTTAGATTTTGTCCTGCACAGTTAGTCATAAAATCCTGTGTTTCTGGTCTAAATGTTGTGTTTTACTCTAGGCTCAGAGCCTGCAGAGAATGCCAGTCATTGAAGCCACAGTTTCACATGTTTTCGGCAAACACTGTAGCCTGAATATATTTATTATTTATCACAAATCATAGCCACACACTTGAAATAGCTAGTGGTATCAAATTTCATTTAGACCTTCTCTGCCATGTACATAGGTGCTCTAGTTTGAACCTAGATAACCTTCACAAAAAATAGCGCACTTCATTCTGGTCCATCGTTAATTAAGCAATGTTGGAATGGAAGCAACTGGATACATTTGACGTATGCTATAGATACAAATTCCAACTCGAACGAGGTTAGAACACCTAGAATGTCTCATTGGGCGTTTGGGCATCACGCGTACTCGGTACCACTTAGTTCGAATTATACATAGTAGATTTGGGACTGGATAAAAGGTAGGGAGCAGCTGTACGGCAGTTGCACTTCAATATTTTATACAACACATAACGGCCACTTTGTAAAGTTTTTTCCGTGTGTGCTTTTCAACTTGCGTTGATGACAGGTTAGTTCTGCGAAGTTTGTAATACGAAGGAACGGTTGAGAAAAAAAATTTTCGCAAAAAAGCTACGAGCAGAGCTGTAGCGGTTTTTCAGAAATAGAAAACGGCTGACAAACAAAATTTTTCCTCGTGTGAGATTCGAACCTGGGACCAATGGTTTTCGGTGCCAGACGCTATGCCATCTGTGTAGCAGAAGGGCGAAGTAACGAGCAGCCCAAAGCACATGGATTAGATGTGGCAATTGTTTGTGAAGAATGCCATATTCAGTCTGTGTGTTTGAAAGTGTTGTAGCGGCGAGAGAAGAGGAGACGCGAGAAGACGTCGAAGGCGGCCGATGGGGCCGTGCCGATCTCGCCACTTTATTGCAGGCCTGAAGCGGAGCCACGTCGGCTACCAGCGTCCAAACCGCCAGGCGTGTCAGCTCGTTCTAATTCTCCCGCAGCTCGAGCTATCATACGCTGCGCGAGAGGCGCGGCGCGGTGGTTGAGAAATGATGATGATGATGATGGCGCTACAGGGCTTCCCCTCTAGCGCTTTGCGCGATTTGAAAACATATGAAAAAGAAAGAGACTATATACATGAACGAAAATCCGCAAGGTGTCCGTTTAGGAAGTCCAGTTTGTGAAAGTTTATGGGCCATCCGTAAGCAGTGTGTCTCCGGTGGGCGACTCTGGGAGAAGCGCAAGGGACGAAGAAGGAAGTGCCGGGTCGCTGTGTTCATAGACACGTCCATCCCACAATTACGCGGCGGGACCATTCAAATGCGCACCCGCCGTTTCGAGTAGACGCGGCTGACAAACGTGCCCACAGCTGGAACTGTGGACAGGCGCTGAAGAGCTCGCGCCGGCAATGTGGGCGAAATAGTGTGAATGGTCGGAACGCACCCATGATGACCGAGCACTGAAGTTTCACAGCCACAGCGGGGTCTCCGACAGCGCACAGGGTGCCGAGCCTGCTGTCGACAAGGAGCAACGTCGCGGTCGTGCTGGTGCGGACGTCTCTGTCGATGAAACACCGGCCTCCGCGTAGCACTGCGACCGGCATGCGGGGGCGTGTGGCCGAGTCGACGGATGCGGAAACGCCGTGCATTGCGGCTAGTCATGTGCACGGCAAGTGGTTGGCCCTTGCGTCGGGAAAACCTCGTAGGTGTTTGCGCCGTCTTGAAGGCCAAAGCTGCAACGCACGGCTGCATAGCAGGACGCTTGAAAAGGGGACGCTGTGTTTTACGGCGAACGCGATGATTTCTTCTGTGCGCTGTCAAGTGTGGTAGACAGGCAGTAGGATTGGGCGTCGTCGCTCGTGTCACCAACGAGCCCGCGTTGCGGACACACGTCTGGTAGTTGCCGTCCAGCGTCAAAGGCTCCGAGGGATGGTTGTTGAGCCCAGAAGTCGTGGCCTGGGGGTTGAATGGCGTGCCCGTGCTCGTCGCGGCAGCCTGGGGGTTGTCCGCCTGCATGGGTGGTACAAAACGTGCGGTCTGTCCGGCAGCATCCCGGAAGTGCGGTCGTAGCATGTCACGGGCAGGAACTTCAGCTGCGGGAGACGTTGAGGTAGGTGATAGTGGCTGCTTGCAAGACGTACGGCGCGTTAAGGCCGGTTGAGAGTCATCTTCGGACACTGTCGACGGCGATGCCTCCGCGATTGGGGGGCGAATAGCAGGCACGACGATGTCCGTAGTTGCGGCAGGCTCCAAGGCGTGCAGCGAGGTTGCCGTCGTGAAGACTGACCTGCCTGAGTTGTCTGGGGTGGAGGAAGACGTGCAAGTGGCAGGCACGAGTGACAGACCTGCGTTCGCGGGCTCCAAGGGGACGCCTCTCTCGGTGCTGAGACCAGTCGAAGTGGGAGCGTCGTCTACCTGGTCGTCGTGCTCAGGTGCAGATTTGGATCTTCGTGCGACTGGATCTGAGGTAGGGGGAGTCGTAGCAGGGGTAGCGCGGTCGCGGTCAATGGATGGTTGCGGGCTGGTTGGTAGTGCGCGCTGCGACGCAGTCGAAACCTGTAAGTCGCGGGTGAACGGCAGCGGGTGGTAGGTGAGGCCATGTCTGGCAAGCACCGCCGAGCAGAGGTCATCGTAAGGCTGCTGGCTGGAGGTTGAAGTGCCAGAGAGATGACGCAACTCTACCGGAAGGGCGTCTTGAAGAATGGCGTGCATCAGCAGCTGGTCCGTGATGCCATTCACCGCAAGAACGGCGTCGAGCTGCATAAACCATAGCTTGGGGTAAGTTGATTGGTACGGCGGCACTGGTGGGCAGAGTTGCGGGAACATGGCCGCGGGCCGCTCGGCGAAGGGCGTGTTCTCCGGGTCACCAATGTAGCGGCGAGAGAAGAGGAGACGCGAGAAGACGTCGAAGGCGGCCGATGGGGCCGTGCCGATCTCGCCACTTTATTGCAGGCCTGAAGCGGAGCCACGTCGGCTACCAGCGTCCAAACCGCCAGGCGTGTCAGCTCGTTCTAATTCTCCCGCAGCTCGAGCTATCATACGCTGCGCGAGAGGCGCGGTGGTTGAGAAATGATGATGATGATGATGGCACTACAGTGTCAACACGGGCGGTGGGCTGACCGCACCAGCAGGACGTTTGTCTTACGTTCGAATCCCGGACCAGAATGAATTTTCCCTCCATCACAAAACTTTCATTGTCAGAAAGCTGTAGGGTTTTTTGGGTTGAGTATTTGTTACGACGCCGTCACGATGATGCATTTACAATTTGTTTGCTTCACAGGACGTCCAGAGGAGACACTGCTTTGATGACGTTCTTTTTCTTCCCTCACATTTCGAGTCGTGCATTACTTTTTCAATTAGTTAATTTACTATTCTAGTTTATAGTTTCAGTGATCTTTGATAGTTTTGATAGTTAAAATACGGGAGATATGCATGAGACTTGTACATACATAACATGAAAGAATTGTCTTAAATGCCTAGAGTGCTCCGGCAGTGATATTGTGCAGATATTATGGTGAATTTGTACGCTTCGAAGAAATAATAGGCGCTATTTGTAACCAACGAGCTTACTTCAATGGCATAGTGTTTATCTCATTTGTTTTGTCCTTTAGTAATTAATGGTGACCTATGTTGTCACTCCAACAGGAGCGCCACATTTATTGTTTCTGATTGTTTTTCTGCGGCACGCATTTTTTTTTTTCGTTAGTCGCATTGATATATTGCACATTTCAACACACACTGGACGTGTAATGCAGCTTCCAAAAGCTGCAATACATTCATAAAGTCTGTTCAACAGAACTTGTGCAACAGATATTTGAAACTTGCGAAAATTGGCTTAAGTGAAGCTTTCTTTTTCGTGCTCTCTGGCCAATAAGGCAATGAAACATTGTAAATACATAAATACAAGTAAAGGTGTCTGAAAACAGGTGTATTAAATTCTTTTCCTGAAGACCAACTCAACCCGTGTAGGATTTTACACAGAGCCTGGGAATGTGCCTGTTTCACTCGCATCACGTTCGCATATTTCGAACCGCATGTCCAATCAAGGTGGAAGGTGATTTGGCAAAACAGCGGTTCATACCCCTGTCACATGAGCCCACAGCAGTTTTTTTACGTAAGTTGGCTGTTAGAAGTTTAAAGACTTCTGAACGAAAAGGTGGCACCTCTCAGACACGCGACATCGACAAACTATTTTAACGTTTTCTTTGAAACGTACTACCAAAAGTGTGTCGGCAGCTTTGAAAAGTTGAACCAGTCAAAATAAAATTGCGTATCTCAATATATGAAGTCCTAGCATCTCCCTCCGACCATTTAACCTGTGCTTTTTGCATGCGTGAAGGGCACCAACCTTGGCCATACATGTTACGATGCATGTCGCGCGTTGTGCGTTCGTGCTTGCGACCAAGTGTCTCCGTGTGATATCCCGACGCATTGGATCTAATAAGCGTTAAAAAATTCATTGCATCTTCTGTGAGATATAATGTTATTTTCATTATGAGCCTCGGTGACAGGAAATTAAATATTTGCTTATTTCTTTTTCACCAGTTCATAACTGCTGTCTCCCACAGGCTCGGCTGCCTTTTACGATCGTGAAAGAGACGGACAAACTTCGTTTGCAGAAAAGACCGGTTATACAAGGCAATCTGGAAAGGATACTCGATAGGAAAGTATTAAAGGGCCTCTAAACCACCCAGAGGTCAAAATTTAGTTGCGGTGTCGCAGTTGTGCACAATTTCACAACAAACATACAGGCCGCAACAATTTTCTCAATCGTAGGATAATAGTGGAGTTGCATGCAGTTTCGATGCTTGAAACGTGGCCCACACTCTGAACTCTGGCATTTACTCGAAATGTTAAAAAAAGTTTCGCAGTTTGTTCAGGGGCCCTTGAAGGTTTTGTTGCTTCAACTACTGTTTTTCGCGTTTCTCATGTTTATGCCAAATGCAGTACCGTGCAACAACGAAGCAGCACCTTAGTTGCTGAAAATGCTTGCACATCATTCAACTGACTTGCGGAGGAGATTCCGCAATGAAATACTTTCAGATCGCAAAAAAAAACAACTGAGATGTCGTGTAAAAAGCGTTTATTTATTGTGAATCTCCATTGATGGGGAAACTCTAGTAGATAAGTCTTGAATGATGAGTTTACTTGGTACTCCAAACCGAAAACGTACACACGCGAAAGTTCAATTCAACAAATCGTCGGCAACTTGTGTAGCAAAAGCCTGTTCTACTGGTGCATCCTAGTAAAGATTTGCGTATATCTTGTTGATCAGTGGGTCAAGCAGAGTTTCACAAGATGGGGAGAGATTCGGTGCAGTACTTGAAGGTAACAATAGTTCAGTGCCAGTAATTAGGAAAAAAATCCACGCATCTCTACAAAGTGAATCATGACCAGTAGGTGAAGCTCTAGCTTTCATATCGATTACTAACAGTACATTACCGGAGCATTGCTCCATGTAACGTAATTACATGTAACGTAACTATATGCGTAACATAAAGCGCATATAGAAACGTAAATTTATTTTGACTTCCAGTTGCCTTAGGGAAAGTCAAGTAGGATTTAGAAAAGAGCAGGAATGGAGGACATGCCTCGAAAGTAGATTCAAGAACCTGCATCTTACCGGTGGCAAGATACCATTTCAATATGGGTAATGTCTTGTGAATACTGCTCTGCGAGTCCCTTTGTGTTGCAGATTTCCTTGAGAAGCCTCGACATCTAAGCACATTTTAGTAGAGGTCAACTCTCCAATACTCTTCTCAACAGGTTATTTCGGCCGAGAACGGCAATTCCCTACCTTATAATTAGCATACGTCTACATTGAAGTCAATTGTAATTTTTTTTTTTTTTTAGTCTCACATATGTAACGAAAGACAAGGCTAAGTCCTATTCTGAAAAAAGAAATGTTTGTATTTGCACATACATCCGATAAGCACGCATTTAGGAGTTACCATTCGGACCACAGACGCTGCAACAGAACTATTTAGTGACCTTCAGAATTCTTCATAGCTGAGATCCAAGATTCATAAATGCACACACATTTCTCCACGAATGCAGCACTCTGTGTATACTTGGTGGTGTTGTCTCAACTAGGGCTTTTTTTTTATTTTTACAGCGAAAGCTGTTAAGAGATTACAACAAGCAAGGGTCGTGTGTGCCGTAGCCGTCTGCAGCCGCCAGTATTCGTAACCACTATTTCGCTAAATAAAAATAATCAGTAAATAAAAACATCTAGGACACAATGGGATTCTCAAACACAGGTCCCCTGTGTGCCAGTCCTGTATTTTACCACAGAACCAGGCCACTGCATGGAATTCCGTTGGAAACTAGCCTTAGGTAGGCTTGAGGTCGGAGAAAGGAACTGCGTTAATGTAAGTAATAAAGTATTTCAGAACAGCAAAGAAACAACCAGGCATCACACAATGCGAATCGCTCAACGAGTGGGGGGTCGTTGAATACTCTGATTTGTTAAAAAAAAGCTTCAAGCACAATTCTTCTTTGCCAGCCACAGCACTAAAAAATCGCACGAAATTCCTTGCGAATAGGTAGCGGGTACCATGCTTCTAAAAAAATGACGAAAAATGGCATGGGTGAACGTTCAAATTTTCAAATTTGCTGTCTTGAACAATCCCTTAGAGTGGGTACATGCCATAGATTGAAAAAAAAAGTGCCGCCATATCCACGAAGTGAATGATGATGAGTGGGCGAAGCTCCGGAGGAAAACCTGGCAAACCATGAATCTTCCGTACATTTTGCCCACTCGATTTTATTACAATGCTCCCCCCTAGCATACGTCGCTGCACTAAATCGAACGATTGCCTTCCACCAATGACACCTGCCATATGTGACATCATTCCTATTTTATAACATCTCGCATCTTTCATCATCAACTACAAGTACCGCCGTCTAGTTTATAACATCTTGCATCTTTTCATCATCAAATACAAGTACCGCCATCTAGTGAACACTGCAAAAACTAAACGAGAGGTGGCTACATACAAGGGACGCTACCGCCATCTAGTGAACACTGCAAGAACTAAACGAGAGGTGGCTACATACAGGGGACGCACAGCCCACGCCTTAAGGAGCTTCGCCCCTAAAAACAAAACAATGAATGCTTTCCTACTACACAAAAAGTATGATTTATGGTGTAGTAGGTACCCTGCATGAGTGATTGTAAAGTTACCCGTGTATTAAAAAAAAGGGCTCTGAAAGGCTGCTCTTCCAGCTTTTGCTGCGACGATGGTGCTGTGTGTTCTGCGCAGGCCTGGAGGTTTTTTGCAAACACGCGAAACTAAGCGAACCTTGCTGGGAGTTTTAGTGAGGGTGCGTTCTTGTTACACAATAACCACTTCAAGACAAAATATGGTGCATCTAGTGCTGTATTAACCAACAAAAGCTTTTTTTTATACAATATAGTGAAGGATGATATACAGTAGCACTAACTAAAATCGCGGGAAAAGAAATTTTTTATACTGATAGTGCGTCCAGCTATTTCGAAACAAACTCCAATGAAAAGGGCAGTGCAATCGCCAGTGAATGAATTTAGCATGGGCATTGTACAGACACTATCACTTTCCTTTACAGCGCAGTGATGAGGCTACAATGTGCGATTCATGTGGCAACATGGTTGGGCTGCCATCTTGACTGTGCAAGCCTTTCACATTTTGCACGTGCATGGCTGCAGCATCTACTTGAGTAACCCTTTCCATAGCGACCGAAGCTTCCTAAAATTACACATTTTTGCAACCAAAAGCATTATTGAAGAGGACACACATGCGTCAGCACATTGATGGCAACACTGTTTTGAAAGGTGCTGTCACCTACCTGGAGCTAACTTTCAGGCAATTAAATTGCAGCTTTGTCACACTACTCCAGCAAAGCAATGCTCACGTTTTCCAGCAGATTTCTGGCAATACTGGTTAAAGAACTGTTGAAACCTGGGGCAAGCTACGAGCCAATCAAATTGAACCATCATTGCAGTACTCTAGCAGAGCATTTCCAGCTGTGCAAAAGTGTTCAGTGTCAACTGTAAATTTCTCTATGTTTTCACAAAACTGTGTGCAAGTACATTCAGTTCACGAACTGTCGCCCTGCACTACATCGAACGTTAATGGATCAACTGCCTTACAGAAAGTGATAATCGAGACGAACTTTTCTTTTTCTATACAGTTCCACCATATCATGATAATCTTGAAGTGCCACAGTACTCGTAAGTGTGCATTTTACCTAGTGTATGTACATTTTTTTTAAGCACGCTTAAGCTCAGTGAAAGGCTAAATGCAAACTAATGGATCTTCTTGCAATGAGCACGCATATGCGCCTCAAACCAACCACTTCGCTTTGCCGGCACTGTCCGTTGGCCATTAGCCTGGACTGCATACAAGCCCTGAGACTATTGTCCGGCATTCGGCGTTGTACCACAATTCAAAGACCGCACAAAACACGGCATTTGTCTCACAAGACGCACCAACTGAAGCCTGCTTCTCAGCGGCGCAGAGCCATTCCAGGAGAAGACCACGACCTACTCCGAGGCTACCTGTCGTGCTGGATGACCATTCCGGGGAGTATCATGATGGTCGTCGCCTCCGGCACCGCCACAGCGCGATACGCCGCCCTGGCGTCGACGGCCGCGGTCGCCCCCGCCGTGGCGGCTTCATCCTCGACGTCTTCTACGCCAGTGACGGAATGGGCGTTGTAGTAATAGTAGGGCTCCGCGGTCCGACGTCGCCGACGTTTCCGCGCCGGAGGGTCCAAGAGCGAGTTCTTGTCGGGAAAGATTGAAGGCACGGCCGCGGTCACCAGGACGCGACGCTTCATTCCAACCTTGAAGTCGGTCGGCTTGAAGTGCAGCGAACACACGACCGACCGGGCATTGCTCAGGAGTCGCGCCCTCTCCTCGAGGTCGTCGCCGGCGATCGCCTTCACCCAGGCGTCTCGACAGAGGGAGTCCGAGGGCAGTTCGTGGAACGAGATTGCGTTGCCGCCAGTGCGTTCCGTCGAAGGACAGTCGGCAACACAGCAGCCTTTCGGCATTTTTTTTCAACTTCACTGTAGGGCGCCGTGCGTTTGAGCTTGTGAGATTTTTTTTTTTTTTTTTTTCGCGGGGTTTGGGAAGGGGTCGAAACGTTGCTGGGATTCTGGTAGCCTATGATCCCGTCCGAAGCGCGAGTGAATCGGGCGTGAAAGGAAATATATCTAGAGTGAACTGTGCTCAGTCTCTAAAGACCTGTGGGCGAACCGTTCTTCGTACAAGGCCGATTTTAAGCAGCGCGAGTATTGCGCTTAATCCACGTGCGCCATGTTTGTTTTTCTTTGGCAACTATCCACGAGAAGTCACCACAATCGCTGTTCGCCCAATCAATGCATTAGTGAAGTTTTTTTTTTTTTGTTACCGCGTTGTAAATAAAATAAGCTACTATTGTTTATACGCCGTAAGAATGTTAGAAATAAAACACACTTAATTAACACAAATTTGAGTAAATTGTTTTTACGCATATTACAGTTTTTTATCAAACGCTTCTCCGTTCTGTCAGGATGGCCGAGCGGTCCAAGGCGCTGCGTTCAGGTCGCAGTCCGGTCTTCCGGGCGTGGGTTCGAATCCCACTTCTGACAAGAAATATTTGCTTTAGCATGTATTTTTTTTGTTTTATTTGTGTTCGTATGTGCCTACCTGCTACATAACAACTACGCTAACGCGTGACACGCCGGTCCCAGATTCATCTGGCGCGCAGCCGCCATTTGCTTGAATTTGTTGCTTTGTTTATTCTGGTAGTCCCGCGCAGACAGGAGGTGGAGGGGTGCACTGCCCAGGCATCACCGTCGACACAAGATGGCCGACGCAACCTGGCGCCCCGGCATCCGCCGCATGCGTGCTCAAACACGCATGGCGGCTGCCGCCCAATCATTTCCGCACTAACCCTAACCTCGCTACTTAGCGGCGTGGCATCACAGGCACTTATCACTGCGAGACAGGTTGCGGTTAGTTTGCGAAGGTTCGAGTATCAAACCTCGCAATCGCTATTGATTAGCCAACGCAGCACGCCCCGCATTGCTTTTTTCTCCAATCTTTTTTTTTTTTTCTCCGTTTTCTCGTCCGTCCCTCCCGCTCAACTCGTGACGTCGGATTCAAAACCACCCACGTGACATTACGTCACGACTCAATTTTTGCGCGCAGGCTCCCGTCGTCATGGAAACGACGGAGCAGCCCCGGATGGGAGGCTAGGCGTTGGCGCGCCATCGAGCCTTTCGCGAGGCTACATCCGGGCACCACGTCGTCTGCTACGCTCAAGATGGCTGCCCGGAGGAGAGAAATCGGTTTTTCGTGCCAGTTTCCCGCCAATTCACAATTCAAATCACAAATTCGCAGCTTTAATGGTGAAGTGAATTGCGATAACGCAGTCCTCGGTCCAGAAAGTTCCGCCACGTGACCCCACGATTTGAAGCAAAGACACATAAAACAAACGTGGCCGCATTCGTGGGAAGGCGCAACGGCCATATTGGAATGGCGGCCGAATGGGATCAGACATCCGAGACGTAGCAATGGCGGCGACACCAATGAAAATGGCGATTGCCTAACGAGCGTAGCTGGATCGCATCCAGATACACAACCGTCGAAGTTGCCGTAGTTTAAACGAAACCGGATCGCTTTCGAAGCTCCGCTGGATAAAAGACGTCATTGGCTGGCCGGACGCGAATGCGGTGAAGTTGCACGTTTTCTTTCTTTCTTTTTTTTTCCCCTCTCTAAATATTGATTTGTCGGGCAATATGAGCGCTGGCCTTGTTGTCCGAAGCGCTTTGCTCGCGCCATCCACCGGTTGCCATACTTAAGCTGCATGCAAGGCTTAAGTGTACACTCGCGAATGCATGGAAGATACGATTCTTTACAATGCGATAGACGGCGCATCGTATGTGAATGCCACAGAACGCCAGGGTGAAAGGTAGTTCATGGGTTACCTTCTTTGTACGTCGATAATCAACCCAAGTCTTTGAAAGGGGTATTCTTTGATATATTTAGCACGTATAAGTACACGTCAGGCTATCACGATGCGCCTAAGGTCTAATCAATATTACACATGACAGGTTCGCACAAAAAAAAAAAAAACTTTACAGCCTTTATGAAGTGTATCTTTGGATTGCGCCACAGATATGTGTGCATGAGCGCAATACAGAACAGCAGACCTAACACGTTTACTACATCGCCGTCCTTGTGATCGCAATCGTCAGTACACTTGAGACCTCTCGATCATTTTTCTATAGCTTAAAGCTTATTTGCTCTTTCATTTTTTTTTTCCCTCGATGAATCGTAAAGCAGCTCGAGTGATTGCACTTATGTAACGCATCTGCTTCGAACATCTGTTGAGCGCTGTAGCGTGGGTTGTGCAGTCGTGTCGCATTATGAAGTTTTGCGGGTAAAACTATTCAATCATTAAACTTGCATTCTTTTTTTTTTTTTAAGAATGCCAGCGGCTGCTTCATTTTTCTGTCTCGTTATAATAGGACGCCATATTGCAAGCACACCATGCACGCAAGCAAACATGCATGTTGCGCTAACAATTTTAGCAACTGTTCTAAAGGAAATAATTGCTATTGAAAAATGTTAAACGAAAAATGGGGGGGTATACGATGACATTCTTGCATATAGACTTGCTTTCCGTCATTTGTCAAAAACTTGCTTTATTGAATTCTCTACTTACGTGCGAGCTATCTTATGAATGGCTCTAGGTGTCGCCATATTTGGTTGTTAACGTCGCTTTCTTGCAAGTTTACCAATAACTAAATGAACAGTACTTACCATAGACGCATACGCATGGAAATGGTTGGGTTTGTGCATAATTCGGTGGTCCGTGACCTTATTAGACTATGAAATTGTTCGTAAGTACCGCAAGTTTCAATCACGGCATACAAACAGAAGAGACCATGCGTTTAATAGCCACACACGTGACGCTCATGCGTTGAAAGCAAAATAGTCTACATATACCACGGTATCATTCGACACCCTCCAACCTTTTAAAGAACTATATTCATTTTTTTAATGGTGACACCTTTCACAGGACAGCAGTACATGAGCGGTTCCTTATTTAGGGCCTCCATTTAGTTCTTCCTTTTTTTTTATCAGCGAGAAACATACTCGCATGTCATGTCACACCATTCTACAAATACCAAAAATCTAAGTCAAAGAGCATCGTTTCTTAACAAAGCTTCTGAAGAGAAATACCATGCAGTATGCACGCATGCGTACAAGCGTTCAAGTTTGTAATATTTTTCCGGTCATTTATTTGATTCTTTTTTATCCAGGTGACACCACTGCCAGGCCTTCACCCGTACCGGCAGCGATTCCAGGAGCCGTTAGACAGCAAGGAAGCAAGAAACTGAGCGTCGTCAGATTACTCATATAATTTATATACCATATAGTCTAAGCGTTCACGGGGAAAAACAGAAATCTTGGACCTGATGAAACTTTCAAGGCAGTAACTACATGCAGCGTACTTCAGGCTTTATTATTGGCACGTCTCATTTGACCGTGCAAATAACATCCGTGCTCTAAAGTAGTCTACGACGCGTATAAAGTTGGTACGGGCTGTAACAGGAACGCCACGGTGTAGTTTCGCAATTTCTCGTGTATGCAGTGGCCGACAAAATTGACGAGCGCATAGGCTGGTGACGTAGACAGCCGCACGATTGTTGGTGGCGGCATCTAGTGGCAGCTCGTTGAACCCCGCCAAGACAAGTTTTTTTTTTTGTTTTTTTTTATGCAACGCCGTCTTTGTACAGTAGAAAAAAAAAAGAGTTCGTCTACACATGTATATGATGCAAAACCTTGCAGGCGATCGCTTAAGCCAGAAGGGAAGCCTGCTACGCAAGCGTGGAACATCTCGTTAATTATCACAATACATGACGTATAACGTGTTGCGACGAGATGACGTTGCCATATATCGTGCTCACATCTATGTTTCCGGAATTCTAACGTGGTGATTTGTCAAACGGATTAGCTGCGAAACTCTCTAAAACCACTAGGTCGTCCGCGTTGAACAGACGTTAAACAAAGGCTGAAAATCACGCTGCTTCTAGTTTCTGCTGTTAAAGGCCTCAGGGGTCAGCAATTGCGTGTCTTTAGCAATTATTCCAAGTGGTGTGGGAATCTGCGTGTCTATCTTCGCTTCTTCTTTGACACGTAAAAAAAAAGCTCAATCACGTTATCCCAGTGATTAATAGGGCTAAGATTTAAAAGTTCTCGCTCATTCCGTAACATAAATGTGTAAACAAAGAAAAGATCTGTCGCACGTTGGGGAAAGCAAACGAGCGAGCACTTATAAACGTAAAAAAAAAAATAATTTTGCTGACACGTGCGCGGCTGGCACGTACATTCATTCGTCAAATTACGACATACGTTTCGCAGCGTTCCACTGAATGCAAGGTCGCTTTTACAGGGGCCTTTATGTTAAAGGCAACGTAGTCACGTTACCTGCAAACGCACAGACATGGCGTATAATCAGACATTGTGCATAATAGCTGTCTCTACCACTTGGGATGCCTGAATCATGAGCCTAATGTGCCACAAAAAAGTTTACACGTTATAGTAAATTGTTGCTCTATAATAAAAACCAGCCACACTTAGCAGCAGTAGAAGCTTGGCGCGAAAAGTAGAGAAGATGTAGATATATGTCTAAAGCCAGGTAGCGACGCCTCGTTGAAGCTTTTGCGCAAATAGTGACGTCATAAATTTTTAGTCATGTCGTGTGACACGCGAAATTTCAAAATACGAGGTTCTAAGATCCACTTTTTTTCATTGATAGAGAACTTCTCCTAAGGAAGTCGCGTTCGTGTAAAGTATAATATTTAGAATTTAAAAATATTATGTTCATCAGCTTGGCCCTACTGGCCCAGTCTGTATGGCATTCCAATATTTTCGTATATTTTCCAAAAATAATATATGCCAAGTATACCGAAATTATACGAACTTTATACGAAATATGCGAATTTTATTCCGTACAATAACATATGAGGAGTTTTTTTTTTTTTCAAAATGGGCCAAATCCTGAACCGAAACTAGCTCAAATAAGGCTTTATTGGCACATACATACTCTCAAACGTCTTTTAAAAGAGTATTATTAAATTACTAATATTTATTATCAACTTATTATTAATATTTCAGAAGAAAGTTGAGTGTGTGTGTACCATACAACCTTATTTGAGCAAGTTTCGTTTCTGCATTTAGCACATTTTTGAAACAAAAAAAAAACACTCCTCGGAATGGCATGCCGAAAATTTCATTAGGGCAATGATTTGCATTGTTCTGGACATTACACCGAGAAACGATGCCGAATCAAGAAATCGGGCGGATTAAAAAATATATATTTTTTCCTTTATTAGCCACGGGAACCTCTGCACTAGAGAAAAAGAAATACACGGGCCCAATAATTCGTGTAATCAATTGTCGCCAGATCCCCCTGAGTGGGTATTAGCCATGGTAGAGGTAGCATCATCATCGTAATTTTCCGATGTAACCCAAGCATCAGCGCGCGCATGTGTGGCTGCGCATATACTTGAAATATATTCTTGCGTTTGAGTGATTTAGGCGTAGAAGTAACCACAGCTGGTGCTTTTCTTATATGCTTATATTAGACAGGTTCAGGCATGCGAGCTTAACGTGATTCTGCATTTCACGATGTTACGCATAGTAATTCGGTGCAGCAGCGAATTCAAGGTGACAATACTGAAACCACAGCTTACTTGACACGAAATCGAATTATAACTGAACATTGAGTGTGGTGATATATAAATGTTCCGTCGATCCACCTGAATATCGGCACATATAGGCACACAGTGACCGCACCACACTGCACACTAAGTAATGTAAAAGTGTCTTCAACAATAAAACTAGGCTGGTGGGTTTTGTTCTTCAACACGAAGCATACTGGTGGTTGGCACTGTATATAAGTTGAGATTTGCCGCAAATACACGACGCACTTCCATTGTTTTTCATTATACACCTGAAAATATCTATATAGTACCAACTCTAGTGCACCAGTGTGTTTTTGGCGATGAACAATACACTTTTACACTAACTGGGCAGTGCGACGCACTGTGAAGATAGCGTTATTGGCGCTAAAATGCGTGATATTTATCGTTCAGCGAATGTACCAAGTCTGTGGTATAATAAATAAAATAGTCAATAAAAAGTAGTCAAGAAAAAAAAAAACAGACATCTCAGGACTTGTGCAAAGAAAAGTCAAGTTGCCTCGGAGATCTTTCTGCAAACCAGTAGACCTGCCAGATCTTGAGTCCTGCACCACAACGAGGAGAAAAGGAGGTAAGTTTTAATAGAACCTTGTCGACGGGCTAATTGGTGAACACTTGACAGCTCCATTTTAACGCTAAAAACAAAGACAAACACTTCAGAGGCGACAAGAGAAGCGTTACTATAGCTACTGGTTCGTGGCAGTGCGTTCGAAGAGCGTGATCATATTTTTTGATCCATTTAACGTGTTCATAACCTTGCAAGCAGAAACACGTTAAAAGCATCTGAAACCTTAGCAAAATGCTATTATGGATCCACTACATCATGCAAACATTTAGCAAATGTAGTTATACAATGGTTTAACGGCATGTCAGATCAAAGCCTTCGTTACAGAGGAGGCTATGGTTAGATTATAATACTGAACATGATAGGATGTAATTTGCAACAGGACTCTACCTTATAGCATACAAAGTGCAGTTGCGCTGATGTCGTTACTACATCAATTTAACTGTTTTGGTTAGCTTACAAATCATAATTTTGTTTAAAAGCTTGTCAGTCAGACACTGAGCCAATATGCATGTTCCAGTCGAAATGGTGATCTAGTACAACGCCTATAGGTATGTTAAGTTACTGACTTATAAAAGAGGCCTATTAGTAGACAGCTTAATCAGTGACTCAAGATAAACCGGAGACAATATTTCTGCCCAGCCGATGGCTAACAGTTATTTAAGGTTAAGCTACATACTAGAGACAAGCTGAAAACGATTCAGAAATGATCATACCGCATGAACGCAATATATTCGAATAGGCCAAGTACTACCTTCCTTATTGCCTGATACGAATTGACTGCAAAACAACAGAATATCGATCCAAACTGGTTTAGAAAGTTTCAAAGTTAATAGAGATTTTCCGAAACCATGTTTACGTCTTGCCGATCCTCGGCCAATCATCCATTGAGTGTGTAGGTGCCACATAATATCAAGAACATCATCACCGTGTCGCATTAAGACAATGCGGAGGTGCCCGCATACATAGACATTGTCGAATTCCGCCACGTTGTGATATTCAGCTATTTACCAGCTTTGACTGACCGAGGGCTATCGCCAGAGTGTTGCTGCAGGGCCTCTCTTGAAACGGCGCCTTCGCGATATTGGAAAATATATGACAGCATTTAACAGTGTCAAGAATAACAACCCGAAAGTCAGTCTCAAGTTCTACCATGTTGTCCGCATTATCGCCTTTTGTCTACTGTGATTGGCTCACAAAGCTGCTGTAAGTCATACCTTTCATGACGGAATGAAAAAATTAAGGAGCGTGACACCGGTGAGCCAGTTTGTATTTAGTACGTTCACATTAGAAGAAGCACCAAAAAAATATATAGTCTGTGAAGGCGTCTGTTAACGTGTGAGACTGCATCCACTCGCATCATGGAACGGGTAGTATTACGTGGTTAGCTGTGTTGGTTATCAAAGTGATACTGAGGCATTCATCTGTCACCGTCAATCAGCATCTGACATAGATTTAATGTTTTTTTTTTCTAACGTATAAATGTATTAAATGAAGGAAGCGAAAGTGGTCGAAAATAATCTGTGCAGCACAAACTGGTGTATCTCATCAAGGCTGCGACCGAACATGAGACGCCTTTAAAAAAAACGCAGATCATGGCGTTGCAATAACACGTCAACGCCTAAAAGCGGGCGACAGGCCAACGATAGTCTCTGTCAACATCAAGACTGCTAAATTCGAGCCCCTCGCTTGCGAAAGGAGGTTGGGCTGATTCGAGGTGATTGTGCCCAAACATCTTGCCACACAAGCACCCCAGAAAGAGGGCGCCGAAATGCGCTGCCAAGGCGTGGATCCATGTTCGTAAATGACACACGTGCTTCAAGTGTTCTCGTCTTGGCTAGCGTTCTTCTCCATTTGCGTCAACGAGATGTTTCAGACTGTCTCGAATTTCACGCTTCTACTTCGCACATGACGGTCTCACATGTGTGTCACTGTGTTCGATGAAGTGATTTGCGCTGTGCGTCCATAAGTGAAGTACAAGACGTCTCTATTTGCGAATTATTTGTCAGTTTTGCAATGTATTGTAATAGTTCTTTGTTTGGCCCATGAGTCTGTTTGTTGTTGAGCCATCTGCTGCTGTTTCCTTGTATATTGCTTTTGCATCTCAACCAAGCTGTTGATCAGCTAGGCGGCTTCCGGTCCTATTGTGTTTTTCAAGCTGGAATTAA